ACAAAATAGAGAGACAAGTTTTTCGGTTGAGATAGAGTGGTGGTCGATCGACTTGAGATTCGCGACCTAGGATTCGGAAGAGGACCAAGATTCATACTTGAAATTCATGAGTGAGATAGGCAACCTATGATTTGAGTTTGACAACCAAGGGTGAATTCAGAATCGATGGTGGACATAGGCGTGAGATTGTGATGGCGTGGATGTGGAGATTGTAAGTCACACAGAGGCGAATGTGAGATGGTGGTCGCATTGAGGTGTGACGGTGGTTGTATAAAAGTAGTGGTGAGGGGGAATGTGACTGATTGGTGGTGCCATACAGTGGGGGATGTGAAGTGGGAAAGGATTGGAGTTATGTTTTAGGAGTTGGTCATGATGAATCATGGATTTAGGACAATAAGGCAATTTGACAAAAATTATTGAGGGTAATTTAGTACTTTCACATTTTATGTTAACAGTGTTAAAAGACACATTCTAACAAAGGCATTAGTGTAATTTTTTAAATACGAGAGAGATATTTGTATTAATCATAAACCTCAAGGGTGTAAGTGTAATTTACCAAAAAAATAAATAATAACTTATATATATGTAATTTAAATTGTTAAACAAGTTGAAAGTAAAATACAAAAACATTGATATATATATAATTTTCATGCCTTTTATCTTTCATTTTAAATATTTTGAACTCATGTTGTACGGAGGGCAAATATTCATCGCTTTCTGCACACTTCGTGTCCAAGTTCGTTTCTTTTTGAGTAACTTGAGAACATAAAGACAGCAAGCTACCCAATGGTGCGTAGCCAGAAAACCTATCTGACGATCAAGTTAGCACACTTAAAGAGAAGGAGAAAGAGAGAGAAAGACGAGAGAGAGAGAGGGAGAGAGAGAGAGAGACGAGACGAGACACAAAGGGTAGGTAGCTCTGACAACTAGAAGTTCCAAGGCTATGCATAGTGGCGCAACACCGTTTTATATAGTTTATGCGTGCTCTTCTCTGTTCATCTTCTTATTGACGCGTGGATATGTTCCCTTCTTACCTTCTTCCACATGTAGGCGTAAATACTGCCAAATACTAAATGGTGAAACCGTCTAACGGTATTAATGTGTACGAATGGCGGAATCTCCTTACTGCAATCCAATCATGCCACGTAGCACTTCTTACCGAGCTATGCCCAATACGATGCCATAACTTTCCCTCGTAACGGCACTAATTGCCCGGTCCCGTCGGGCAAACCCGAGCATGGGCTCGACCAAGCTCTTCAATTCACAACGAGCTTTTGCTCGGTTGAACCTAGTCTTCTAAGGACAAATTCCATCCAACTTAGAGAAATGCACATCTCCAGACCGGGCTAGTACCTCAAACTAGTTCCCAACTTGATCGGGCTAAGACCTCAGTTTAGTGCGTATCCAACATCTGACCATGCTCAAATCCCAGTTGAGCATGTGGCATCGTTTTCTCCGAGTAAAGACCTTGGCTAAGGTCCAAACTAACTCGACCCATAGCAGGTCATAAATCTCTCTCTCAAATGTTATACATTAATATTTTTATTTTTTAATATGTTAGGCCATCTCCAATCCAACACTAAATATTTCATCAAATTTAAATTTGATAAAAAAATTCACTTTTTACTGCTCCAATCCATCACTAAGGCCTTGTTTGGGATAAACAAAAAAAAGTCAAAAGTCAAAAAGTTACTAAAAAAATTAAAAGTCTATACTAAGGGTAGCTTGAGGAGGAAGCTACTAGGGTAAAATTATTATTTTGCCATTTGAATTCAACTACCCAAAAAGTCAAAAAGTCAAAAGGATAAAATGGTCATTTTGATTTTAATACAATATTTTATTACGCATATTTCTTATAAAAGGTTAAAAAATTATTCTAAACATACATCTTTTTTTTTTCTCTATTTTTTTAACCAAAAAGTCAAAATGTGCACTTGTATAGCACATCCCAAACAACTACTAAATGTTTCATCAAATCTAAGATTTCTCAAATTATTAATCAAGTTGAGGATAAATGTGCCTTTCATCAAATCACTCTTCATAGCCGCTGGAGCTCCAAATCATTTTCACCAGCGGACGATTGGCCAGATGTCCGGCTGGTTGTCCAGTTGAATGACCACCTCATTTCAAAAATTTGTGAAAAAATTACATTGACTACTTGACCGGTCGGACATTCTTTTAATCGTCCACCAAATGTTTTGATGAAAGTTCAAAATTCTCCGTTAGAGTCATAATATTGAATGAAATTTATACTCAATTTTTTATTCAAATTTAATAATAAAAAAATATAACGTTGAAAATGCTCTTCTATTATCTATTTCTTAAAGTACAATATATAAAATTTTAAATGTAACAATTTACCCGACGTTGGTCACCACCTAGATCGCACTGGTAAAACAAGAGATAACAATGAGAGATTCCAAACCCAACTCGATCTCGACCAGTTGCTATTCGAATTTACAGTTATGTGGTAAATTTCGATGACAAAATGAACCAACGTTGTATGTGGTAGGAGTGAGCAGCGGATATACCGATTCGTCAAAATCGACTGAACCAAATCGATCCGCCGCATTTTGGATGGATGCGTGATGACGAGCGGACGGTTGCGGATTGATTTTTTCTAATCTGCCAATCTGGCAGACGGATGGCGAATTTGAGATTCCTTTGGCCGCAACCGAACCGCTAAACCACGAGCACCCCTAATAATTTATAAGACTGTGTGTTTTTAGTTTGTTTAAATATTCTGTTTGTATTTTAATTAAAAAAGAATTTAAATATTCTGTTGAAAAAAAGTTTTCAACTTGAATATCTTAAAACTTTTTGGAATTGAAAAAAATAAACATATTTATTTATCTATATTTTTTGATTTTTAAATCTATCTCTAAAAATAATAAATAGAAAATATGATATATGCTGGTTGATTTTTGTTTTCAAAAATCAGATATAAATGTAACAATACAGAGACATACAATCTTTACTACTGCTTTGTTCATGGTTTTAGTGGTTTGAATTGTTTTTATATTTTAAAAATCACAGATTGTAATACTTTATGTGATGAGGCATGCAGTGATTGTGATATTCTAAAGTTTCAAACTTTTTTACTTTGGATGAGGCATGTAATGATTTTAATATTTTTTTAAGTCATTGACTGTAATACTTTTTTTTTTTTTTTTTTTTGAGAGGAAGTGCAAAAGTTGAATTATGTTGAAAATTTATAAAATTTTAAACTGTAAATCCGATTTGCATTCATTCGTCAAACCGTCAATTCGCTAAATCTACATCCGCCGGATTGACAGACGGATGCGAATTAATTTTCTCCAATCTATTAATTTGACGAACGGATGATAGATTAGAAGTTTCGTGACCACAACTGATCCACGGCCATTCTTAGGGTTAATTTGAGATGTTCTAAAAAAATATATTTTTTGACTTATTGACTTCTATGGGTTGAGTTTGGGTTGAGTTTGATGTGATGTGTCAGAGAGGTAATATGATTTAAATAAGATGATATGACATAAATAAAATAATAATTTTTTAACTTTTTATATTATTTAGTAAATGTCAAACTTAACCTAAATCCTCATCTTTATACTTCTAGCGTCAATTGGAAATGGTGGGTTGACATCTATTTCAAAAAAATTCATTTTTATTTTAAGAAAAAATTTACATTCGTTAAAGAGAAATTTTTTGAAAGACAACCAACATCCTGAAATTTGTTAAAAGAAATTCAAAAATTGTTTTAAAACTAAGGTTTCGTTTAGGAACAGGTTAATTTAGTAATTTTTTAGCTATTTGACTAAAATATGAGTTAAAAAAAACTAGTATGTTTGAGATGACTTTTTAACTTTTTACGAAAAGATGTGTAAAAAGTAGAGAGAAAAAAGAATCTTTGATTTTTTGGTATAAATTATTAATTTTTTAATTTTTTTAATAACTTTTTAATTAAAATCAGCACTTGTCAAACGAGGCTTAAATGTGACTTTTAAAGATCCCAAACGGAGCTTAAAATCTAGGACATGAGGCATGTAATGATTTTAATATTTTTTTAAGTCATTGACTGTAATACTTTTCTTTTTTTTTTGGGAGGAAGTGCACAAGTTGAATTATGTTGAAAATTTATAAAATTTTAAACTGTCAATCCGATTTGCATTCATCCGTCAAACCGTCAATTCGCTAAATCTACATCCGCTTGATTGGCTGACAGATGCGAATTGATTTTCTCCAATCTACTAATTTGACGAACGGATGATAGATTAGAAGTTTCGTGACCACAACTGATCCACGCCCACTTTTAAGGTTGGTTTGGGATGTTCTAAAAAAGTACACTTTTTGACTTATTGACTTATATGGGTTGAGTTTGAGTTGAATTTGATGTGATGTATTAAAAAAGTAATGTAATTTAAAAAAAATGATATGATTTAAATAAAATAATAATTTCTTCACTTTTTATATTATTTAGTGTACCTCAAACTAAGGGGTTGTTTGGGATGACCTAAATAAGTGCACTTTTTATCTTTTTACGAAAATATATGTAAAAAAATAAAGAGATAATATGATAAAAAAAGATAAAAAAATAAAAAGATAAATTATTTGAGACTTTTCAAACTTGACCTAAATCTTAATATGTGGGATGAAAGGTTGCAAAAGTTTAGTAACTTTTAGAAGACAAAACAAAAGCGACAAATTTTCTCTGTGGGCTAAAAAAACAAACTTTAGAACACCTGGTACAGGACGCACCAGTGGACATCGTCTTCAAGCAGCCAAACAAAAGTAGCGAAAAAGCGTAATGTACCCAAGCAAAGGCCTACTTTGAGCATATTATTAAAAGTTAATTTTTTAATTTTTTTTTAAAAAATATAAAAACATATGAAGTAATAAGACTTAAAATGAATTAAAAATTAACTTTTAATTTCTATTAATTAATCCAAAATCAAAAAGTAATGCTAAAAAACTTAAAATAATTATCAAAATTTTTATCGAAGATCTGTCTAACATTTTTCAAAATCAAAAGCTACAAGTCAAAAAAGTTGTCCACAATAGTTGTCCACTGTAATCTAGTCGAATTTCCCAAATATGCTCACTATCGTTAAGAATCATCCCCATCGATTCTCTCCCAAACAGTGACTGGATTGAGATAAGACAGAGAGAGAGAGAGGAGAGAGAGAGGAGAGAGAGAGAGAGAGAGAGAATGGGTAACGAAAGCTCGAAATCTGGAGTTACAGAGTCCTCCGATGACTCCATGGACTCTTCGTCGCGATTGTCTCGTTTCAAGCATCGTCTTCACATTCATTCGAAACCAGGCGAAGCAGAAGAGGCACACGATGAATCCAAAGACGGTTCGAAGGACTCTTCGTCGCGGTTGGCTCGATTCAAGCAGCGACTTCACATTCATTCGAAATCAGGAGATACAGAGTCCTACGATGGCTCCGAGGACGCTTCAAAACAATCTTCGTCGCGCTTGTCACGTTTCAAGCAGCGACTTCACTTTCGTCACCGTCTTCGTCGTCGTACCAGTGGTTCGAATTCGAATCATCAACATTCCAAATTGCTCGATGCCGAGGATTTCGCTGGAATCGCTCTCACCACTCTCATCAGTGTATGATCCAAATCTCTCTCTCTCTCTCTCTCTATATATATATATATGTACATATATACAAGGCCTATGTGAATTGTACTTGTTGTCGTTGTTGAAGGCGGAGATGAAGTTCAAGGACAAGTGGCTTGCGTGTATTTCGTTCGGAGAACAGACTTTCCGTACTGATGTATCTGATCAGTTAAGCACCTCCACTGCTTTCTCTTTACATTTCCATGTCGTGTAGTCTCTGTTTGTGTTTAATTCTTGTATGTATTTTAAACACTCCGTTTGGAAAAGAAAACAAGTGATATAGTGATACAGATGAGGTTTATTTTTCTTCATTTGTATTTTAATGGGCAATCTCAATATCATAAAAAAAGTACATAACGAAATAGCTTGTTTCTCACCATATCTTATCACTTTTGGTGAGTGTGCAAGCATAAAAATTAACTCACATGGATTGAGGGAGAGATTCAACAAAGAGATGAGCTTTATCCCACTTATCTGCAAAACAATAGACTGTTAGAGCCTTCCTACCAGTGGTTTCTGACTGAAGGGAAATCCGATGATGAAGTTAGATTCAACTTTCGGAGAGACAAAGAACCAAGAGAAAAAGTGTGAATCCAGAGTTTAGGAGGCTCCCATACTTTCTAGGAGTGCTTCCTTTTTATATTAGTTGATGACTTGCCCTAATTATGTTATTTGATGGGCTTTTTTGATTGGATTGGGCCATTTTGCTAACACTTGTTGGGCTTGGACCATGGTTAATCTTGGCTGTAAATTTACCTCCCACAATTGCCCCCCAACTTTCAGTTTCTTCAATTCAAGTGAGAAGGAGTAGAAGTTTTTTTATTTCTCTCATAGATGACCATATGGTGGTACTGACTTGGTGCCAAGTACTGCTACCATGTGCCTTCCAATATTTGAAATAACTCTAGTTAATTACACGAGTGTGATGGTTGAATGATGAGAATCATGCTTAGTTGGGCTAGGGCTTTAGCTAGAAAACCCGATGCCGTTGAGGAACATTCTTGATGAAAATGATGCCCAGCTAAAATAGGTCTTATCCCTAGAGCACCTAACTAAGCCATTTGTTTTCATAAAGAATGCCTAGGAAGTGAGGGTTTATGTGTACGATGCCTAGTGGTTGTATGCCTAGCAAGTTAGGGCTTTTATGTTTGGTGACTAGTATAATCAGGGCTTACTAGTCAATGCCTAGCAAGCTAGTGCTTTAATGTTTGATGCCTAGTATAATTAGGGTTTACTTGTCAATGCCTAGCAAGGCTAGGGTTTACTTGCTAGTTGGCGCTTTATTCTTTCTTGGCTGCATTCTTTTTTTGAGCCTGGTCTCTGGTAGTGCCCAAGCTTGTCGGATAATGGATGGGGACGGAGCGTGCCATTGAGGTTATAGGCAGGCTGAAAACCTTGAGTGGGTTGGGTTCCTTGTTAGGAGTTGTTTTTGTGTGCAATACAAGTTGCCATGCAAGCTCTTCGTCTCCAAACTAGTTGCGTAAAAAGAAGGAGATGAGAGTTCCCCAAGATAACTATTGTGTTGGTCTATGCAAGGAAGGCAGTGTAAGTGGTCCGAAGAAGTTGCTCAGTTGAACTTCATGTTAGCTTGGAATGCTACGATCGAACAACGAAATAAAGATGTTTTTAAGTCTCCTTTTTGCTATAATTTCTTCCCTGTTTTAGTCTCATAATGCCTCATGCTAGGCAGGAGTGGTCCGGAAAGGTGGCCATAGTGGCTTTGCTGCGGTATATATTGTCATTGGACTAGATTGGCATGACCAACCAATACCTCATTTTGAACTTTTTGTAGTAGGAAATAATGACCAATAGACATTGTTTTGGTATAATTTAGTGTAAATAAATATCGATTAGGGAGGGGAAAAAAATGTTCCCTAATGAGCACATGTTGCCTAGTCGTGCGTGGGCACCTGGCTACTTGAATGGGACTTCACATGACAGTGGCGAGCTTATCAATTTGGTTTTGAAGCAGGCGCATCCTTTCAGTGACATGCTTTGATGCCTCTAAACTTACAGTGAATGTGGCTTAGAGGTTTGGAATGAAAAGATTTATGCGATGGTGGTCAAAGACTTGGTAGTTGAAGATGTGGTGACTTGCAAAGAATATGGAGAAAAATTGATATTTAAATTCGATTGATGGTGGTGTACCAACAAATACAACTACTACAAGTGGCGATCCACTTTATGTGAAGATATTAGATAACAAAAACAAACAACAAGATCATAAATTAGAATCCGTGGCGACACTATGTGGGAGTAGCCCTTTTGAGAAGGAAAAGTATTTGAATGGAAGAATGAAGTCTTATTTGATGTTTTAGTTAAACGAAGAGAAGCTACAAGTCAATTTTAGGATAATGTAGCATGGAGCGCTAAGTAAGAGAAAGTGTTATCACTATACCAAATGAAGCAGCGGCTAGCATGCTAAGCTAAGATCAATCACTTGGAGAACGTCGAGCCTTTCTTTCTCGGTTGTCTTTCTTAATAAGTGGATTCCGATTCACTTAAGATGCTTCATGGTTGTCTTTCTTAATATGTTTCATGGTGTATGTTCCCTAATCATATCATCCTAGGAGATGAAACTAAGGAAGTAATTAATACTAAATTAGAAATTTGGCTTGATGCACTCAAGTTAAAGGGTTTAAAAAAAAAAAAAAGTAGAAATAAAACTAAATATATGGAATGTAAGTAGTAGAAGTAGAAATAATAGAGAAGTGAAGATTGAAAGCTAAGAGATAATAAATTGATGCACTCAAGTTAAAGGGTTTAAAAAAAAGTAGAAATAAAACTAAATGTATGGAATGTAAGTAGTAGAAGTAGAAATAATAGAGAAGTGAAGATTGAAAGTTAAGAGGAAATAAATAGTGAAATTTTTTATTAGTTAGGTTCCATTATAAATTAAGATGGTGAGGTTGTAGATGATGTGATTTTTTAGAATCAAAGTAGGTTGACTTTAGTGGAGAAGTGCACCTGTCATATTATGTGATTGACTAATACTAACAAAATTGAAAGAAAAATTAATATAGTTATAAGACCAACAATGCATTATGGGACAAAATGCTGGGTAACTAAGAAATAACATGTGCATAAAATGATTGTAGCTAAGATGAAAATGCTTAGATGGATATGTGGTAAGATTGGGCAAGATAGAATTAGAAAGGAATATATTCGTGAAACGGTGAAATGGTAGAAGTAGCACCTATTGAAAATAAGTTGAGAGAGAATATGTTAAAATGGTTTGGTCATGTACAACGAAGACCTATAGATGCACTATAAATGGAGATGTTAGGGGGAGGGGAAGGCCTAAGTTGACATGGGACGTGGCAGTGAAAAAAGACATGAATTTATTTATTTTAACTAAGCATATAGCTCTTGATAGAGTAGAATGGCATGTAGCCAACCTCACTTAATTGGTACACAAGGGTTGGTTTGGTTTGGTTTGTTTTAAAACTCATTTCCCTGACTACATGAAAGCATGATTGTTAAACTTGTTTTCTTAAAATTGTGTTGAATTTGAACAGTATGTCCACTAACATTGGAAGTCTAGAGAAACATGGTTGCTAACCATGCTTTTAACAAAATGGAAATTAAAAGGCATGGTTGCCAAGCACACTTTTAGAAAATGTGTTTAGCAATGATGTTTTCACGTAGTTTGGGATGAAGTGTTAAGTTGTTATAGTTGTTTAAATAGATTAAAAAAAGGTACAAAACATAAAGAGTGCAAAGATACGAGTGAGGATGGAGTTTCATGCAGATTGACTGCTTTTTCCCTGCAATTGATTTACTTTATAATAAAAATATTTTTTTAAAGAAATAAGTACAAACGGTTAACGTTCAAATGAATTTGAGATTATTTATTCCCTTACTATTTTTATGTTCATGTCCAGCATTTTTCTCAAATTTTGTCCCTATGAGTTGGAATGCTTTTTTTTTGTTTGGTGAATTATTATGCATAGCATACTTTTGTGAGTGGCATATGTTATATTTGAATTCTAGGTGTTAATACGTTTAACATATTAATTCTTGTAGGTTAATGATAGCTTTTTTAACTTTAGAAGAGTTTATTTATTTATTTAAAATTTTCTTATTATTAATTGTGTCTTCTTGGTGGTGCAGCACGGACAAACCCATCTGGAACTCTGTGAGTATTATGAACAATATGTTTTTTTGATTCAAGAACAATATGTTTACAACTCGCTTGAAATATCCTTTTGTGGCCTTCGTTGAAATATGTTTTTTTGTATATTTATTTTATTCAATTTTTTTGGGTGTAATATATACAACTTCTTCATAAAAGAAAATAAATTCTATAATAGGTTGGAAAGAAAGGTCAACTGAGGAGTAAAAATTACATAAATGCTATTATTGCTATTTTGATATGATATATATAGTTGATTGGCAACAAAAGAAGTGTTATTAATGAAAAGAGAAGAACAAACAAAAAGAGACAAGATGTCCTCTTCAAAGAAAAAAAGTCATCACATCAAACAAATCAAAAAAGTCTCCGAAACATCGCAAACTGCTTTCCAATCTCTAAAGATGAGAAAGAACAGGAAGTAGATGCCCAAATTGGCGCTCAATGACACACTTTATCCCCCAAACTATTTTCAATATGATGTTGGTCAAGATTGATTGGGCATTAGTGTAATTTGGATGAAGAGGTCGCTTTCAAGGATAGAATACAGATAAAATTGTGATATTGCTACTATAGAAAAATATATATATATATATCAATGGATGAAACTATATGCCAATGACAAAATTTTATGAAAAAAATTTAAAGACTAGCAAAATGTGGAAAATTTGAAAAAAAAAGTTTGGAAAATTTGAACTATTAATATATGTAATTTTGCATATTTTCAGAAAACTAGTAAATGTAAAACTGCATATTTTTATGAGAAAATCAATACAATACGATAAAGTAAATTATGTCAACCTTTGACAATGATCAAATATGAACAGATATAGGTTAAAAACCTTGAATATATGCTCTCCCACCCTTTTGACTATGAACAAATATATTAAATGAAGCTCCCATGTATCCTCCCAAACCCATTAAGAAAAACAAAATTTAACATTAAATAAACAATCTACTATTATGTAGACTACACAATTGACTGAAGGATGTGTATAATACACCATGGAGTGTTTATATACATAAAACTCAAAATGTAACATTAATTTCTATACTTAATAACGGCATTCTTAAGTTGCTCACAATACTTTTCCACGTGGTTCAATATTTATAGACTCTTAGCTTATAATCAATATTTGATTTGTGCACAGCTAATTCCTCAGCCTAGAGGAGTTAAAATCTTACTGTTACCTTACTAAAAATGCTTTACAATGTGATATGATACTTGTAAAGTTCTCTGTCCTGGTCCTTGTGATAGGAGATTTGATGTTAAGGGCTGTGTTTTGGTAAACTCTTCTTATTGTTTACTATGATGGAGAATATGCATTCTGTTTTCAATTTCTCTCCATCTGTACCACACTCATTAATTCATCATTATTTTCTTCAAGGTTGTAATATGTTTGTGAAAAAATACGCAGTTTATCAGTGTACCCATTTGGTTGTTTATCTCAAAATGAAGGAATCGATCATTGAGTTCATTTTTCTTATACAGGAGAAGAAATTTCTTTTGGAAAGTAATGGGCCTCATGTTGCAAGGATATCTGTATTTGAGGTGTGCAGCTAAATTTGATTGTAGAGAATACCCTGCATAGATTTTCTGTTCATCGCCTTCTGGTGAAGGATTCGATATTTGAAATTTCAAATGATTACTTCAATACTATTTAAATGTGACATAATTTTCATAATGTGAAGAGCAAGAAATGCAAACACAATGCCAAAGTCCAACAGGAATCGGTGGTCTTTCTGCTACTTAGACCTTCAATTAATGAAAATATAATTTAAGTTGCGAGCAGAAGCCTTGAAATCCTTTTGCCACAGAATTCTCATTTACAAAACTCTGTATTTTTTAATTTGCTTTATTTATTTTTTTTGGACTACAAAAGTAGCGTCATCCTTGTAAAATATCATATGCTTGTTGCATGTTATGAAAATTACTAAAATATTGCATCATAAAAAGGAAAAGCATTTGCTGAATTCATTGACTTTTCATGTGATGCAGACCAATAGATTGTCCAAGAACAACCTCGTTGGGCTTTGTGAAGTTGATCTATTTGAATTTCTCACTCAGGTGAGTTTTATTTTATTGAACAAGTTTGTAATTTGTCCAAATATCATACTTTTAAATCCATATTTTAAGTTTCATGTGTACCTTTTGTATCATTCTTTGTGATGGTGGACATGTAAAGTTTATTGAAGTTTGCATCCATTCCATTTGTATTAAAAGAATAGTAAAAAGGAAGGAGAAGGAATTATATCTTTTGCACACAATTTGAATCCTATTATTTAAAACTCAGAATTCATGCCATATTGCAGTGACATTACACCTTTACATGTTTTATTTACTTGTGTGCATGAATTTTTTTGATTTTACAATATCATATTAATGGAATTGACACTTTCATGCATAAAAAATTCTCTTCCTTTTCTTTTTTAAACTTTTATTTGTATTTCATGTAATACATTTTTGAAAATAATAAAAGGAATGTAAACTTTATCTAAATATCTTATATATTGTTAGAGAAAGACATGTGAACAGAAAATTAATATAATTGTCATGAAGGTTGAAATTTGCAGAAGTTTTAATGTATTAGGAAAACACATTTTATGCATTAAAGATCTATTGATAATACTATAGTATTATTTATTTTTGATAAGGAAAAATATTCTAGTATTTCATTTTTGTCTTATATATGGCTTGGTGCCATCTGTTGTCTAAGTAAATTAATTTGAAGCAAGTGATATGGTGATATGAAGTATTAACTACATTATAATAATTTTTGAGGTATAGATTTATCCCAAAAAAAAAAATATTAAAAAAAAATGGAGGGATAGATGGAATGGAACTGTAAGAGTAAATTATGAATGTATCCAATATATCTTGCAATTTTTAGTTATGGATAATTGTTATAATTGATTGACATTATCTCTAATTTGTGGGGTGCCAATATGGCTTGAAAGTGTGGGTACAAATGCTATAATCATTTTGGAAGGACAGATTTATTATAAATAAATAAAAAAATATGGATGGACAGAGGGAATGGAACTTGAGGAGTAAATTTTGAATGTATCCAATATATCTTGCAATTTTTAATTATGGATAATTGTTATAATCAATTACTATTTTCGCTAAACTATGGGGTGCTAGTATGGCTTGAACGTGTGGTACAAACATTCAATTCTCCTAAGTCGACGGCCATGTCATCTCCACATTGGCATCTCCTAGTTCTATGCACCACGTTTTAGTCTTGTGAGGTGGAACTTGAGTCAATAATATATCTCCAACCTCAAATTTACCCACATCTCCTTAATGTCCAAAGTGCCTAAGGTTGGGCAAACTTAGCTTACCTCACTCAGCTAGGCAAGATCTCCCAAGCAAGCGATTGCCATAAGTTGATCTCCAGTTGGTTGTCTCCGCGACTTCTCCAAGATTGTTAACAAGTGAGATCAATTGCACCTTGCAATCTGCTATTCACCCAACACTTGAGACTCGGAACAAGTTACCTAGGCTGGGATTATGGTCTAGGATCTCCACAAGGATTGTGGCTTGGAGGCTCGAGTCAATAGATTGTCAAGGGTGCATACTCATCCATTTGGGTGGTCCCCTTCATTAGCCTTAGAGAGAGAGAAGTGTTGTATGATACTTGATACTGATCCCTATGATTAGGGCTGCAAATGAAACGAGCTGTAAATGAACAAGCCCGGCTCGACTCGTTAAGGGCTCGGCTCAGCTCAGCTCGAATATTAGGCTCGTTTAGTAAACGAGTTGAGCTCAAGCACGAATAAACTCGGCTCATCAAGCTTGGCTCGTTTATCTTTATTTACATTATATAATAAATAAATTATTTATATATTAAATAATATATAAATATATAATAGTAAAAATACATTATTTATATATTAAATAATATTAATAATATTTTTTATTTAAATAATATAAATAATACTAAAAAAAATCTTATCGAGCCGAGTTGAGTTGGGTTGAGCCGAGTTCGAGCCCGGTTACTTATCGAGCTGAGCTTGAGCTCAATAGTAAATGAGCCGAGCTCGAGCTTAGCAAAGCTCGGCTCAGCTCGGCTCGGTTCGTTTGTAGCCCTACCTATGATGCCTTGACATGCTGAGATAAGGAAACACTATGCATTGTAGGCCAAAGAAGGCACGATGGACAACATCCACATGTCAGGAGATCACTGATTAGAGTTCCCTTGGTTATGAGATCCGAACATAGAGATCTCATGAAAAATGATCCTAGTTGTCTGGCCAAGGGGATCATGCCACTTGTCTCACCTAGTTTGACTTTAATAGTTCAACCTCCCTATAAAAGGGATCCTCTCCATGCATCATCTGTTTACTCTTTTATCCGACAAAAGTTTAAGTCTCTTTCTCTGCTGTCATCTTCTCAAAGGACGAGATCCGAGGATAGAGATCCAATGAAAAAAGATCCCAGTTGTTGGGCCAAGGTAATCATGCCACTTGTCTCCCATAAGTTGACTTCAACGGTCTGACTTCCCTATAAAAGGGATCCTTTCCATGCATCGCCTGTTTTCTCTTTTATTCGGAAAAATTAGTTCTTTCTTTCTCCTCTGTCATCTTCTCTCTCTCTAGGCTTCCCTTGTCTTCTCCTCCTCCAACTTCAGTGATCTCTTTCTAGCTAAATTCCTACCATCTTTCCCGATCACCCTGTCTTGGCCATCTCGGACACCATCATCCACAAAAGAATCTTATTATTGCACTTCAACAATCATTTCCCATGACTAGCGCCACTAATATGTTTTTGCTATTTTGCTCAATATATAGTCAAGTCCTTTTACACTAAAGAGTATCTAAGCATGGTATTATGAAATATTTTTATATCAGTTGAAGTATCACGATATTTGTGTAGCTGAAATTCAGAAATTGAATCATATACCTGGCTTGGAATATTAAATCATATAAAATTTCTTAGTCACCAAGATTGTACCAAGATTGTAATGAATGATAATGCCATAAAATCCTATTTTGAAACAGAGAAAGGAAGAAAGGAAAGCAAAATGAAAAAGAACAAAGCAATTTTTAGGAGCATCAGTTGAATGATCAATTGTGATGTAGGACGAGTAAGGATTATTTTCCTACAAGTAGTGAGCCCAATTTAAGTATACTGGCAGCAACAACAATAGACTTATAGGGCTGGATTTGATGGGTTTTGTGGCTGCAAAAGTATTTAAAAATAGGAGTTTAAGGGTTTGTAAAAAGGTAGGATTTTAGGAATGAAAACACAAGTGTTTAGGGACAGTTGGGTAGTTGTTCTAAGCACTGTGAACAGTGACTTGAACAGTAACCTTGTTGGATAGAAGAAGAAGAAGAAGACGAAGAAGAAGAGAGAGAGAGATAAGTGCTTCACCCTCACCAGGGATAGGCCAATCACACACACACAAACACAATCTCAAATTTTCATAATATTAAACTCTGCTATTGAATCATTGAGATTACACATATTTATAGGCTAAAGACTCTCCTAATTCTTTAAGGACTATTTCTCAAATTTAGAAATTAAAAATATTTAGCAACTACTAATATTCTAGACAACTATGACTTCCAATTCTACTTCAATCATAATAGGAAATTTTAATGGCTTCTAATTCTACTTCAATATCAAAATAGAAAATTTGAACTTTTGACCACTAAGATTATTTTAGAGATAATCGAACCCATATATAGTGGGTGTTTGGGAAGTGGGTTCTTATGTAGGTTTTTTTAGTTGTAGGATATTATTGAAGAATTTTTTTTTTGTGTTTGGGAAGATGGTTGGGTTTTTATGTGGTTGGATGTGATGTTTGTGAGAGAAAAAGTGAAATGATTATGGAGTTAGATGTGATATTTTGTTTGGATTTGTTTTTTTTGGTTTTGCAAAAACTTTGTCTTTTAGTGGAAAAAATAAAAAAAAACCCAAAAAAAAATCTTGCCAAACACAGCCATAATAACTCATTTAATAACTTGACCCAAAATTAAACCCATGGGCAACCCTACAACTCATGTTCAGCAAAACTGAAGTTACCATAATACCCTTAACTACTAAACACTACCATGGACACTTCTCTTTGGACTAAAAAGACTTCTTGACGAACATAGGACCTTTAGACTTTGTGTTGGCCTTTCACAGCCTGTCGTACTTGTTTAACCTTGTAATAGATGTTGCATCAATTCTTCCCCTCTGAAAAGAACTCGGCTCCGATGAGTTGGGAACGTGTCCAAGATTGCCATCACATGGAGAAATTCGTTGAATCCGGAAAGAACTCTTCTTTAACTTCAATTTTTGCTCATCTGTATCACAAGTAAGAGTATACTTCTTTTTTCCATCAATGAAGGAGTAGGTTTTGGCATGTCTGACATGATGCGCATCACGATTCCAGATCCATGTTCTACCCAAAAGTATGTGACAAAGCTTGAGTGGCAAAACATCACACATGATTGTCTCCTTAAGGTTCCTAATGGTGAATGTGACTGGACATTACTTGTCAACCGTTAACTTTGTGTTAGTAATCCAAGCCACATGATATGGCTCTGGATGTGGCTCAGTCATTAACCCTAACTTCTTAACGGCTTCTTCAGATACCACATTAGTATAACTCCCAGTATCAATCACCAATGAACAGATTTGCCCTTCGCAATTGACTCTTGTTTGAAATTTTTTTCCTCTATGATAAAGATCTTCTTCACTCTTGGAAACTTGTTTAATAGTTACCATAAGAGGACGGATAATGCTCATCAAGTCATCTGAATCATCAAAAATTGTCTCATAATTAGCATCAAGTGGATCACAAACCTCTTCTTCAAGTGGTGACTTATTAGACTCCTTTGCCTCTTTTGGACTTTCCTTTTCAACCATAGGCAACTGACTTTGTGGGACATTGAAAAGATAGATGACCATAACCATGACAAGTGAAACATCTTGTTTTAGAATTAGAATTACTACTTGCTTGAGATGAAGATGAAGCACTAGGACGTGGTGGCTTGTTGGAAACGTAAGAACTTCCTTGCAGCTTGTCGATAGACTTGCTTCAACTTGCATCTACAAAAGTACTTTCACTTGGAGTAATATTTTCTGTTGAAGCTCACATAGGGGTCTTCTTTTTAAATTCTTCTTCCATCTGGTAAGCTACTTGAACCGCATCTGCCATGGTATAAAGTCGACTAGCATCTAGCCCACAAGAAATTTGTGAGTTTAACCCCTGTTGATACGTCGAAATCATCACATCTTCGTTCCTAGGAAATTCCGATCTTGTAGCCAAATTATAGAATTTTCCAGTGTATTCCTCAACAGACATATTTCCTTGTACCAATTGTGTGAATTGTAAGTGGACACGTTGTTTGTAGTTTACTGGTACAAAGTATCGAGTCATTGCAATCTTCATATCTTCCCATGATGTAATGGTAGCATAATGCATTTGTTGGTATTTTGCCCACCAAACTCTTCATGTCCCCTTCAATTTAGCCTCCGCAAAGAAGAGTTTTCTTTCATCTGTCAAACGATACCACCAAAAGAAACTCTCTAGGCTATGCAACCAATCAAGAAATAATTCCGGGCTGTCTCCATGAAAATCTCCAACTTCAAGCTTAGCACTTTTATCAACATCAACTATCCTAGGATTTTCTTGCAAGCGGGCTAGTGCTGGTTGTGGAGGAATTTGTTCAGAACTTTGTTAGTGATTAGGGGATGAAGAAACATGGATGTTTGAGGCACCAAATTGTTGACCCGTGCTTTCTCCAATAGGCTTTTTGCCCAAGACAACAGTTGACAACCTCTCCATTAATACTTTCATCTCCTCCAAAGTTGTAGTGATGGTATATACGTCACTCTTTGGCATTGCAACATCTTCCTTGGTAGCCTCTTAATCTTTTGAGAAGGCTTCGAACTTGGAATTCAATTCAGCGTTTGTCACCATGGTATTCAATAAAAAAAACCAAAAACAGTGGAGAATAAAAGTAGGATCTTGAAGCTCTGATACCAAATTGATGTAGAATGAGTAGGGATTACTTTCCTACAAGCAATGAGCCCAGTTTAAGTACATTGGCAGCAGCAACAATAGACTTATAGGGCTGGATTTGGTGGGTTTTGTGGCTGCAAAAGTATTTAAAAATAGGAGTTTAAGGGTTTGTAAAAAGGTAGGGTTTGGGAATGAAAATACAAGTGTTTAGGGACAGTTGGGCTATGAAGCATGGACACTCCAAAATTGGTGCCGTGGCGGTGTCCGACACGCGGACACGCCAGGGACACGTACGGGACACGCCAGATGGCGTGTTCCTTTAATTTAATGTATTTTTTGGAAGGGGACACGGCGGGGACACGCGTGTCCACATCTGGACACGCTATGGGACACGGCGGGGCTCTTTTTTGAATTTGTTATATGTATTTGGGGTCAAAGTATAATATTTAAAAAGTAAAAACTGAGGGTGAAGAAATATAGTGACCTGCGAAGACCTTCTGAGCAGAAGCCCTCTCTCTCTCAGTCGATGGAAGCTCTCTCTCTCAGCCGTCTCAGTTGAAGCCCTCTCTCAGTCGATCGAAGCCCTTGTCTCAGTCGAAGCCCTCTCTCAGTCGATCGAAGCCCTCGTCTCAGTCGAAGCCCTCTCTCAGTCGATCGAAGCCCTCTCTCAGTCGAAGCCCTCTCTCTCTCTCTTTGTGGTCTGTTTTCGACTTCGAAGGTAAACACTGATTTATATTTATATATTTTTTTATACGTTTATATATATATATATATGTAAGAGTTAGACTGATTTTTATTTCTTTATATATAAATTTATATATATGTAAGATTTGTTTTTTTTTTTTTTATTGTTTATATATCTAAAACTAAAACTGTAGTTTAAAAAAAAAAAATTTAATTATAGGTTTATATATATATACAGTATGTAAATTCTTTTTTTTTTTTTTTTTAAATCCTTCTAATGTTAATGTTAATTAATAGGAAAAATGTCTAGGTAAAATAAAAAAAAAAAAATAATTGGAATACATTATTTAAAAAATATAATAAATAAATAAAATAATTAATGTGTATTAAAATAAAAATATTTATAAAAAAATTAAAAAATTTTCCGTGTCTCCTGCCGTGTTCGTGCTCCCATTTTTTAGAAATTGCCGTGTCCCGTGTCCGTGCCCGTGTCCGTATGCGTGTCCGTGTCCGTGCTTCATAGTAGTTGGGTAGTTGTTCTAAGCAGTGTTATTAAAAGCGATAAGCGCACCAAGGCGCCAAGGTCTCTTGAGGCCTTAGGCACAAGGCGCAAGGCGAGGCATAGGTTTTATTGAAGTAAAGCGCACCATGACAAGTTAAAATAATATAATTTAATATGAGACATATAAGCAAATAACTAACTGGTATAACATAAACAAAATGTAATATTGAACATTTAAAAAAATAAATACCAACAAATATCGCTATTTTAACATAGACAAATGAGTGTAAGCATGCATTTCAAAACATAAAACGCGAATATCCATGATCTAAAAGTCAACTAATAACAATATTTCAAGTTTAAGCATGCATTTCAAAACATCAACAAATTAAACCAACAAAACATAAAGTCTTTGCTTCCATTTATCCAATGAGGATCTAACAATCATCATCATCCTCAATATCAACAACACGCAATTCATAATCTTCTTCTTCATCATTGGATTTGTATCCTTCTACATCTTCCTCTTCTGTCTCCTCTGAATCTGCCTCTTCCTCATCTATCAATTGACATGCATTTGATGATCTAGAACTCCTTAGCCTTGCCCTCGACGATGATGGTGTCTTTGAAGTTGTTGATCTAGTTCGTTTATTTCTTTCCCGAACACCAGAAGCTCTAGCAACATCACCCCACGTCAAACTTTCATCATCAAACACATTCTCGTTGTCTTCATCCTCTTCTCCATCCATCCTTCCAACCAACCACTCATTGCTTTCATCAATATTTGTTAAAGTGATGGGATCAAGCGTGTCACGCATATCATATCGACGTCTCAATTGTCTATTGTACTTAATAAATACCAAATCATTGAGACGTTGTTGTTCCAACCTATTTCTTTTTTTGTTGTGGAGCTATAAGAAAAAGAGAATGTATTAAAATTTACCATATGAGAAGGGAAAAAAAAAAAGGAATTCACCAAACTTGAGGTAGATGCTCACATGCTCAAATACACTCCAATTTCTTTCACAACCAGATGCACTACAGGTTAAGCTAAGAACTTTTATGGCAAACTTTTGCAAATTTGGGGCTAAAGAACCATATGCAGGCCACCAATCAGCTGTGAATTGCAACTAATTTTAGCACAACTAGAAACTTTTGATTTAATCTAGAGGCATGAAAAAGTTAATGGTGTAAAATGGATTACCTGGTGCCCTTGTCATTCTCTGCCTAATTGCTAGTGGCATCGCAAAGAGACCTTCAGATTTTGTATAAATACTCATTTCTTGAGTGATTTTATCTTGAATGTCAGTGCCTCGAACCAACCTTGACACACACTTATACAACCCTATCATGATTTCAGGATCATGCTCAATACTTGGATTAGAATAGAAGAACTCCGGATTCAAAAAATGGCGAGCTGCATGAAGAGGTTGATGCAATTGGATATTCCACCTATTGTCAATGATTTCAAAGATGTTCTTGTATTTTTCTTCTTTTTCATTAAATGACTTTGCAATACTTTCTTTAGCCCTATTGTTACAGGGTCAATTTTCGTTTCAAAATTCCAGCCTGTAATGGCACTAAGTTGGACACTTAGTCTCAGCCAAGTATGATTACACACACACACACAGTGTTATAACAAGTAAGAATAGGCAGCAAGTAATTACAGGAAAAATCCCAACCTTTATTAATTGCACCAACAATACAAAGGATGCCTATGGAACTCTTACAAAACACTTAGTTAATTTTCGAGTTCCATGGCTGATGCCTAAATAGGCTTACAATCAGTTTCAACTTACAACCAGCATTACAAGGAAAGCATGCCAAGTGGCATGGCAGTTGACACCCCCAACTGCCTAGGGACTTAGGAACATTTTTGGAGCATAACTGCTCTTAACTGTTGCTATGTTTCAGGCTTGGTTCCAGGTGTCCAGACTTGCCTTGTCTTTGCCCATCATGGATAACTGCTGCCAACTGACATGCATAACTGCTAGTAACTGAAGAAATTTAATGTATAAAGAGAAATAGAGAAATTGTATTATTGATTGATGTATTACAAGATTGATTAATTACAATTCCTATACAATCTATATATAGAAGAAAATGTGGTAGTACCACATTCGGGTCATGTTAATGCCTTGCATCTGTGCAACGGCTGCACATACTTTGGCCAAGGGTTGTGCTGCTGCCTCAGCACTTGGACCACATTTTACCTTGCTGTCTTGGCATGCCTCCATCATGCCTTGGTCTTGGTTGGTCATGGCACAAGGTGCTGCCAATGCCAACCATGCAGCCTTCAAGTAGAAGGTGCTAACACCTATCCATAGCTTCATAAATGTATCCCATGGCAGGTTTTTTCTCAGAATCAACCAACCTAAGCACATGCACAAGTGGACCTGAGACCTTAAGAGCATAGACAGCCAAATTCCAAAATGATGGCATCAACATAATCTGTGTTGCTTGTTTACCCTTTGGCTTCTTTGCCCATTTGGAGCTTGTCCATTCCTCCGAAGTAAACATCTTTCTCAAGTTGTTTTTTTGTTGATGAATCCTAGATAGAGTGAGAAAGGCTATTGCAAATCTTGTCTTTGCAGGCTTGACCAAATTCTTTAACTGTGTAAACATCCTCATCATATTCAACACACCTGGACGGTTATAAATATAACCGTGTACCTGAATAGCCCTGTCAAATGTCTTCTTCATATGTGGCAATTTGAAAATATCTTCCAGTACCAAATCCAAGCAGTGAGCCGCACATGGTGTCCAAAAAAGGTGTGGTTTCTTTGCCTCCAAAAACTTACTATTAAAATTATAGAAGCAAAACACAGAAGATTATTTAATAACAACTAAACTAACTAACTAGCTAGCTAGTAAGTACATATAGAATCAAGAAGACAAAAGATTATTACTAGCCAACACATTAGCTGAGGCACTATCTGTGATAATTTGGACTACATTAACTTCTCCAACATCATCCACAAACTTATCAAGTAGTTCGAAGAGTTTTTGCCCATCCTTTGAATAGCTTGAAGCATCGATGGACTCAACAAACATAGTTCCTCTAGGACAATTGACTAAAAAATTAATCAAAGTCCTTCCATTCTGCGAAGTCCATCCATCTGACATCAAGGAACACCCATATTTCACCCATTCCTCTTTATGAATCCTCATCAACTCATTTGTATGATTCAACTCTTTCTTCAGATATGGAACCCGCACTTAATGGAAACTGGGAGGTTTCATACCAGGATCATACTGCCCAATTGCTTCAACCATTGGTCCAAAGCTATCATAACTAATTGCATTAAAAGCTATACCTGCATCATACATCCACCTTGTGATTCTTATCACTGCTCGGTCTCTTAATTCTTTCTTATAAGGATCATTATGATCAATTGTTGTCTGTTTTCCTTTTCTATTTTGCACCACAAAATCAGGATTGGGTGTGTCGAATACATCCATGGGCCCCTTCTTCTTCAACCTTTTTGATCCAGCAAAAGAACTATTTTGATTGCTTGGCAATGCTTTACCACTTGATCCACGAGGCCGCTGAATCTCATAAGCAATGTCATCTTCATCCTCTTCAAAATCATTGTTCATCTCATCAAAATGAGGCAACAAGTTCATTTGATCTTTCTGTGTTTTCTTGTTTCCCATATACTCTTTTATCTCTTCCCTTATATCAAGTGGACATTTTTGACAAACTGTGACATTCCTTGAACCTCCAACAAGATGTTGTTTGACTCTATAAACCCCTCCATTAGATACTTTACCAAAAAAATTACACTTAAATTGATTTGGGTTCTTAGGATCTAACTAATGTGCATATTTCCATGCAGGATCTTTTCTTGTACTTTCAGATGCCATCTAAATCATAGAAGTAGAGAATTCAAAATTAAAAAACAGAGCACTCAATTTTTAATTTTTGAAAGTACAAGAAAAGATCCTGAACCATAAACAATTTAAGTATATTTTAGTTGAATTGAACCATAAACAGAGCACAAGAAAAGATTATAATGAGTGCTCTGTTTTTTAACTCAGGATCTTTTGATCTTTTTAATTCAAGAAAACATCCCAGATACTAAAAAATTAATTTTAGTATATTTCAGTTGAACCATAACCAGAGCACAACTAGAAATTAAATTAAATTCTGAACCATAAACAGAGCACAACCATAAACAGAATTAAAAAAATTAATTTTAGTATATTTTAGTTGAACCATAAAAAATTAATCATAGAAGTAAAGAAATTAAATAAATTAAATCATTGAACCATAAACAGAGCACAACTAGAAATTAATTTTAAAAAAAAAAAAAAAAAAAAAACAGACGAAGAGACGAGACGAAGAGACGACCAAGAAGACAGAAGAAGACGAACAAGGCAGACGAGACGAAGCAGAAGAAGACGAAGAACAAGCAGACGAAGAGACGACCAAGAAGACGAAGAGACGAACAAGACGAAGAGAACAGACGAACAGACGAAGAGAAAAGACGGAGAGAAGGAGAAGAAGAGACGAAGAAACAAAGAGAAGAACATACCTGGGCATCCTGAACTGGAAGACGACTGCGTTGGAAGATGATTGGAAGAGAAGAACTTCTTTGGAGATTTGGATTAGGGCTCGATGTTTCTTTCGTCATCGCTGATTTGGGCTAAATCTTCAAGTATATTTGAAGGAAATAATCTGCTGTAGCTGACCCTGAAATCTTGGTGGTCCAATCTGTATGAAAAAAAAAAAAAAAGCCCTCAAGGCCTGCGCCTTGGGCTTAACTGCGCCTAGCTCCAAGCGTGCGCTTTAATCGCGCCTTAGTGACATCACCTCGCCTTGACCACTGCAAGGCGCAAGGGGTGGGCATGGCTGGGCTTTGCGCCTAGGCGCGCTTTTAATAACACTGGTTCTAAGCATTGTGAACAGTAACCTTGCTAGATAGAAGAAGAAGAAGAAGAAGAAGAAAAGAGAGAGAGAGAGAGAGAGAGAGAGAGATAAGTGCTTCACCCTAGCAAGGGATAGGCCAATCACACAAAAACAATCTCAAATTTTCATAGTATTAATTTTGCTATTGAATCACTGAGATTACACATATATTTATAGGCTAAAGACTCTCTTAATTCTACAAGGACTATTTCTCAAATTTAGAAACTAAAAATATTTAGCAACTACTAATATTCTAGACTAGATATGACTTCCAATTCTACTTCAATCATAATAGGAAATTTTAATGACTTCTAATTCTACTTCAATATGAAAATAGGAAACTTTGACTTTTGATTACTAAGATTATTTTAGACATAATCAAACCCATATCTTGATCCAAAATAAAACCCATGGGCAACCCTACAACCCATGTCCAGCAAAATTAAAGTTACCATAATACCCTTAACTACTAAACACTACCATGGATACTTCTCTTCGGACCAAAAAGGCTTCTTGACGAATATAGGACCTTTAGACTTTATGTTGGGCTTCCACAGCCTATCGTACTTGTTTAACCATGTAATAGATGTTGCATCAAATTGTCTACTAACATGTTAATATATTCCTAATATGTCCGATTTCCATGTATGCCTCTCAACATGTTTCTTTTCATGATAATCTTGCATGCTAGTTTTCTTGATATAAGTTTACCATGCACAGTAACCTGGGAACCAATCCAAACCTACTGATTCATCCTACTCGTCAATTGGTCTTTGCGTTAAGCTTTTAAGAGCTTATGTAGCTCTGTTTAAGTTTGGATATGGCATTATACTACCCACTTCAACCCAACTTGTCCAAAATACAATCTCATCCTTGTTATGAGTACCTAATAAAGTAGTGTAGACTGTGCAAGAAGGCTGATGCGTGGCTACGGAGGTTTTGTTATTTTGAGGTGCTTCAAGCTAGAGGAAGCCAATATTCAAGTTATTATTGAGGAAAGACTTGTGTTCTTTTGTTTCTATGATGGACATGCTATTGTGGGAGGCAGGTTAGGAATTTTGGAATGTACTATTTGAACAATTATTGGTAGAATATTCAGAATGCCACTTATATACTCCCTGTATTCACATGTCGCATGATGGAACATGAAATAGAGCATTTTCTTTCTTTCATCACCCTTTTTTTTTTAACAAATAATTTTCCTTAGAAATATTATAAACTGTGAAAGTAGGTTTTTTGTTGAGAGAAGGCATTAGATGGCCTATAGGAGCTTCTTGTGTTGGTGATTTCATTACTTATTTACTATCAATATCAGCACTGATTGTTGGCATCATGTTTTGATACTTGCATAAATGTACATCACATTAAATAGTATCACACATTAAGTTGGTATACTTTCTTATTTTCCAAATCTACTTAAATCTAGGCATCATTTATTTCATTATTTTGGAGTTTTTTCATTTGAATATGAAGTCACTGTGAACAGCTTGTATTTAAGGTTTCACTTGTTTTCCATTATTTCTGCTGGCAGTCTTATTTGTTTCTCTTGGGCTAAGAGGAAATTATTTTGCAGGATTCAGATTCTGACATTGACCGATTTGACTTGCTAGATCCATCATCACCTGATATGGTCGTTGGCAGTATTTCTCTTTCGTGTTCTGTTGAGGTGTGCAGTACCAGGCTACCTTTTCTATTGGTACCATTACCAGTATTTTTTATGGGTAGTATAACGATTAGTTCAAACATTGGCAGGATCCAATTGAAACAGAAAAAGGTTTTGCAAGACGCATCTTGTCTGTAGTGGTATGGATAATTCATCTCCCTTCGTCTGCCTGTTTGATATGCTCTCAATATATGTATTGTGTTGTCTGTGGTCGTATGTTGTAAATCATGTTCTTCCTTCCCTGTATGATACCCACCCAATTGTCTGTCATGCTGGATTACTTTGGGTTGAACTTGTTATATGATCTAACGACATATGTTTTGCAAACACCATGGATTAATTTTAGGCTAGATTTGAACATAAGAGGATTGTCTTTTAATGATATTATAGGCATCAGTAATCGATTGGCTAAATTATGGGGCTAGTTGATTCCAGCATCTAGATGAATCATAGATGTGCAAAAATGAGACCAAAGATGTTGATAATTAACTGGTGACTTTGTTCTTTCTTTCTAATTATTATGTGACACCCTTCAATAGGTTTGGAATGTCTTGGGTGATGTTAAATGCAAAATTTATCAATAAAGTTTTTGTTGTTGATTATCAAAAAGAAAAAAATTGTAATCTGGTCAGGCATTGGTATTATGCATCCTGGGTTTGAAGAGTCATATTCCACAGCGTATTTCTCTCTTTTGCTATTTCATAGAAAATTTGACAAGACAAAAATGCGAGATTATTCAGGGGCCTTCACTTCATAATTGTGAAGGTAATGTAGCTGAGAGTGAAAGAATAGCTCGATAAATAGTGATAAAAGCTGAGAGCGAAAGAATAGCTCAATACACAACGATAAAAGCTGAGAACGGAAACTCTGCCATTTTTTCTCTTTCTTGTCCTGTCTGCCTTACTTTTCACCCAACAACTAATTTCTTCATCTCAGCTGATCGTCTATAATTTCATCTCTCCAGTATTACACACTCATTGTATTGTTCCAAATCATTTTGGACCCTCTACATAGGGTAGTACGGGTCTATCAGAGGAAGGAAAACTTCTGTGGGAATGCAAGGAGTTTGGGAAGATAGCAAGTATGGAGGCTTTATCGAATTTTGGTTGATAAACAACCTTATGTGGTGTGGCTGATTACTTCAGGATCAAGGGGAATTAGGTGTTTAATGATGGTCTAACGAGATTTGGAGGTTGATGAGATGATTTTTGATTTTGTGAAGTGGGAGAAGATATTTATTGGTGAATGGGAGTCAAGTTTGGAGAACTTTGTTGTGAAATTTTGAGAAAACTAAATATTAAAATTAGTGGCTAAAATACGTACTACGTAGTAACATGTTATAGTTATTGAATTCAGTAACACGATTCAATTTGTGTAACTACATGTTCTTTTTCTTTTCTGTTCCTTTATGGTGAAAAATTGAGGTATTTATAAAACATTGAGTTCTGTTTGCATTCCATTAATCCATGGAATGGGTTAAAATGTCATATTCTAAACTTAAATCTCAGCCATACTATTATGTTATCATGTTGGATGAACAAATTTATACATACCTTGTCAAGTAAAAGAAAATACTCCTGCGTACATAGTTTCTAATTGTCAAGATCTTTTTTTCCATATTTGTTTCTACTTCAATCATTTCAGCTTGAAAACATATTTTATGAAGCAGGATTATAAACAATACATGATGGGAGAAATTCAAACTTAATATTTGATAATATACAAGATTTTGGGAGCTATGCTTTTTAATGGATTTAATTGAATTGAATTGAACCCTATGGTTTATACAGGACTATGATGGAGATGGGAAGCTCTCATTCTCTGAGTTCTCTGACTTAATCAATGCTTTTGGCAATCAACTGGCAGCTGATAAGGTTCATTAATTTATTTTTTTGTTGTGTTTCTAGTTCCTAGCGCTTCTTTTGGAACTTCTTTTTGTATTAGGCCACTGTTTCTTGAATGTCTTGGGTGCATTTGGATACTTGGATTTGGATTTGACTGGCACGTCTTTCATCAGAGGCGATGCAAATATTTCAGATATCCTTATTGGGCTTTAAAATTTGTCTACTGGTTTGTCCAAAATACAATTGCATGTTGAGTGTATTTTGGAATTGTGGATTCAAATCGAAATCTAGACCATCCAAAATTTCATATCCAAACTATCCTGTATAAATTTTTTTCAAGTTTTTGTCTTAGAAATTCTTTTTTACTTGTTTACTAGAAAGAAGAGCTTTTTAAAGCAGCTGATCAGAACGGGGATGGTGTTGTTAGCATGGATGAGTTGGCTATCCTTCTTGCTATTCAACAAGAAAAGTAAGGCCATGTAAAATTAAGAAGCTTGGGGTTTGATCTGAATGTTGCCCTATTTGTTCTTTTCCGTATACTTTTATAGATTTTTTTCACCAACATGAGATGCCTATTATATAAGGTCTTGTGAGGTCAATTTAATTATTTTCTTACCATGATTATGTAATCTGCATCCATCTGTCACTGGTGGTCCTCAGTTCAGGTAGTAAACTATGTTATTCATCTAGGCATGTTTTCTGGGTGGAAAGTTTTTCCAATTTTATGCTCTGCATGTTTGGGCAAAAGCATTTTTTGACGTTTGGTACAATGGAAAACGTAAGTCAACAAAAAACATTTTTCATGGCCAACGCAAAACATGCTTAATTGGGCGGAAAATGTTTTTTACTTTTGAAAGATGGAAAACATTTTCCAAACTAAAGTCTTACTAATGCCACCACACTACTACCACCACCATCTTTACACCACCACACTACACCGCTACCACCTTTGTCGACACCACCACCTCCACCCACTACCACCACCGCCCCACCATTATGTCGCCGTCGTCGCCGCCGCCGCCGCCGCCACCACCACCACCACCACTACCACCATCTCCTCCATCACAACTACACTACCACTCCCATCAACCCACCACCTCCACCCTGCCCCAACCACCACTACTACATTAATTTCAAGGATGCAACCAATCATAGGAAAATGTTTAAAAAAAGTTTTTTGTCGAAAATGTTTTTCATTGGATAATGTTTTCTGCAGAAACAAACGGAGACACGTGAGCCTTTCTTCTCAATCTTCATGTATAGACCTGTTTGATGCAGCTTATTGAGGCTGCTTATAGTTTACTTTTATATATATATAGAAATTCATGCCAGAGTATTTGGTGTAATTTCTGTTTACAAATTAGGCAAAAATAGCTGAAATATAAGATGAAAAAATTAATTATTAAGAAGCTGGGGAAGAGATGTTTTTAGCTTCTACTTTCTGATTATTAACTTTTAGCTTACGAAAAAACTGTACCAAACAGGCCTTGTATATTAATAGGCTACATGGTAATAATTTGGAAAAAGTCGTAAAATAATGTAATAGTAGTGCAATATATTTTGCTATATTGTACAATATATTGCAATGTTTTATTGATATAATGTTAATTTCATGCAAAATGTAAACGAAATATCTAGATTTAAAACACGTGAACATATTGCATCACGTTTCCTCAAAATGCAACATATTGGCAAAGATATCATGATATATTCCATGTTTGTAATGTTGGTTAATACCAAAATTTCAAGCTGATGAACTATAAAGCAATGAAATAGCAACTCCATCAACTCTAACAGAAGAACTTCTAACACCAACCGAATTTGTGTTACACTAGTTGTACACGCAAGAATACCCAGTTCTGTTTAATCTTGTAAATTTTATGTCAGCTGGAGTTCAAATTTAAGCTTGGTAAAGCTCTTTGTCATTCTTAGCATTGCATGCTATTTTTTGGAAGCTCATTCATGTTGTTTTGAAATGTGGATGAGCTCTATGATTGTGAATAAGGTAAATTCTGGAAAAGCAAGTAGTGAATGGCAGCATTGTACTCAGATCTTTGTTCTTTCACCCCTCGTGGTTGACGAAGAATTAGAAGATTATGTCTAAATCTTATGTGGCAGGTCTCTTTCACGATATTTCATACCTTCTGTTGGATATTAGATCTCCCTTAGGAGGATAATGAATTTGCAGTTTGACTTGACAACTCTTGTTTTGGTTGGCGATGCTTAATCCTGGTAGTATTCAGACTGATAGAGTTTGTAGAAATCTCATTTTTATTCTGTGTTTCTTCGTTGCAGGGAACCACTAATCAATTGCTGCCCTGTATGTGGTGAAAATCTTGAAGATTCAGATACGCTGAACAATATGATTCATTTAACCCTGTGTTTTGATGAAGGGACTGGAAACCAGGTTATGACCGGGGGTTTCTTGACCGATAAACAAGCTTCATATGGGTGGGTACTCTATGAAAGTTGAACTTTTGGATCATTTATGATAATGAAACTCTTCCTTCCTTTTTTATGAATAATTTTCTATTCTAAGATTTGAATTCTAGTGTGAATTATTTGACTTTAGGTGGATGTTTAAACTAAGTGAATGGGCCCATTTTTCCTCCTATGACGTTGGTTTAAATTCTGGGTCTAGTGCCTCACATATTGTGGTACTCTCTCTCTCTCTCTCTCTGCATTTCTCGAAGTTCCACTAAAGCATTATACTGCAAAAGTTGCTTCTAGTCATCTTTTGTTCTATTACTATGATCACACGCTGCCAGGATATTGCTTACTTGTGGAGGAAATTGGGTGCTACCTTTCTCATCTACTCTTTTTAATTTGTTTTTGTTTGTTTGACGTGGCATTACATTTTTATTTAAAGTTCCATAAAGTTGTGCTCTGGCATTCGGTTAATCTCGAGTGCTGGCAATTGGTAGTTTATGGAGTTAATAGATTTCTAGTTATAAAAGACATATATTTATGAATATATATTTGTGGGGAGCAGAGTTGGAAGATTGTAAGTAAATGTTTCATGTTTGGTTCATTCATCCTTCAGGTGAGTTTACATGTAAATTTTCTTTTGACAAAATCATTGACAAAGAGTGTGCCTTCTTTCTCCCTTCACCAAAAAAAAATAAAGTGTGCAGCTTAAGGTGAAGTTTTTTATGTGGTTGTTAGCTCATGGAAGCATTTTGACCAATGATTCCTTTCAAAAGAGAGAGCTTAATCGCTGCCTTTGTCCTCAGTATTGCGTAATGTGTAAGAAAGGTGAGTAATCTTTGAATCACCTTTTCTTGCATTGCCTCATGGCATCGAGCTTGTGGCATCAACTTTTTCTTTTGGTGGAATTATTGTGGGTGGCTCCAATAGCAAGTATTCATATGCTTTTAATTGATTTTCGGGGATTTGGTGGCAAGAAAAGCGCAACAGCATTGTGGCTTTGTGTGGTACATGCATTTTTTGGGTCATTTGGCTGGAAAAAAATGCAAGAATTTTTGAAGACTACTTTGGGGACTTGGATTCTATGTGGCATAATAATATGGCATATTTTTGGGTCTTTGTGTCACCTTGGTTTAAAGGGTCCTACTCTTTTTGATCTCTGGAGATTGGAAGGCTGTGTGCAATACATAGTTCTCGCTTTTGCTTTGTTTTGGGTTGTTTTTTTATCACTGTTTTTCAGGTTTAATCTTAGAGGACTCCTTATTCTCTCGTGTACTTCATTTCTTTTTATTCAATAACATTCCTTTTGTTGCCAATAAAAAATAGAAGCAGCTATGTGGTGTATGCATGGTAGTGTATGATTTGATCTTTTGATTAGGGTGACTTGGATTAGATTCTGAGTAGTTAAATTTATTTAATGCAAAACCTATTACGTAATGTGGTGAAGGCTGTAACCTTCTTACTAGATAATCATTTTTGCTGTTGGACGACAGAAATTACCCTGTGTGTTTCTTCTGACTTATCATATTCATCCTTCAAATAAAATAGTGTAAAAATATATGTATTATTGATTGATAAATATTGTTTGATATCTATTACAAATGGTGAGTGGCTCATTATATAGGAGAGGGTGAGTGTAGTAGGTGAGGAGTAGGTGGTGGTAGGTGATGGTAAATGGGTGGTAGGTGATGGTAAATTCTAACAAATAGCATTCTCTCTGTTTTCTTCATCTCCTTCCATCCAAAATAATCCGCATATAAGCAAATTAGCCATGGACACCTTTGTGAACAAACGAGGAAAAAGAAAAATGGAATTAGTAGTTCTGCTGCATATAAATTGACTATTGTCCTTGTCTATTGCAGCTTTGGTTAGAAACTGACACATTAGTAGGGAACTCAACTGACGTGTGCTATGATTATTTTTATTTTTTGTGTTTGTTCTACAGGCTTGTTGATGTTCAGTCAAATATCATTAATTTCAAAGCAATGCTTTGGTGATATTCTTATATTTTAATTTCTGGTTGTAATGCTTTAGGTTTTTGATCGGAGGACAAAGAGGCTAGTGGAGGAATTACTCGATGGAAAGATTGTTCTATCAATGAGAGCCATTTATCAATCTAAATTAGGTCTTGGCCTTATGGACAAAGGTACAGCATTAATTTTTATTAAGCTTTAGCAATGCCATATATAGAAAAGTTAGCAATTCGTGTGAGGAAAGCGCACTCAATTTTTGGTGCACTTTCATTTTAGAACTACATTTAGTGATTCTAAAACTTGTACTTAATTTTTCCTGTATTTCTCTTTTACAAGATGAAACAATAGAATCTATAAAAATCTAATAGAATGGAAGGGCTTTAGAGGAAATGAAAACTTGAGTGCCATGGTGAGAAGAGAATCACTCTTGTATTTACAACTCCCTAACACATTGCCACATGTGATCTATATAAGCCGACCCTTGTCAATTAGTCACTTGCCATGTTCTTATTTCCATTCCGTGTGCCAAAATAATCTGAGTTCCAAGTAAAATTGGTTGAAGTTAGCTGTAAACTTAAAAGGATTTTTATCATTTGGCTTAACGTCGGACATATTTTCCACAAATCAGACACTATTGTCTTTTTTTTACCAGTTCAAATTCTCTACCCAGGCCTCATTTTGCCTCCACCTCAGTCTTTGTTTGCTCATTGCTGCACTTAGTGATCTTCCACTGCAAATTAAAAAATTATCTCACGTGAATTTTTCACTTCTTGTTTGTTCGTAGTTTTATGCAAGTTATGATCTTTTTGGTTACTTTGGTACTGCAATTGGGTGCAGGGGCGAAAGAAATCTTGCAAAGCATCTCAGAAAAGCAGGGGAAGAAAATGAATTCGGTTGAATCTGCTAGAGATATACCAAAGTTCATTGAATTTTTCAAGGCATGCTAATCTTCACAAGTACATATAAAACTGTAATATTATTTTGATGTTATAAGGCATAACAAAATGTTTATGATTCCTTGGTTTTGAGCATGTAATGCAGTAAAAAATATTGTAAATTCTTCTGTACTCATGTCTTTGAGTGACAGATAACTCTGCTTTGTAATGAATTCATGGACCTGCCCTTTTATGAAGTCTTGTTGGATGGATCATTATATATTCAGTGTTTGCGGATGCAGAACAGCTGGGTGGTGATTAATTGTTTAACATATTGAGGTTTAGATCACCCTTGTTACTAAAAACAGGGTGATTATCATATCTATGAACAGTCATACACCTAGTATTTAGTGCACAAGGCTTCCACTTATCGCTAGGTTTGAAAAAGATGGTATGTAGGCAGCCTTACTATCTCATTTTAGTGGAGAGGCTGATTATCAGGACCTACAGTGCTAAGCTGGATGAGCACTTGACTTCGTGTCTGGTCATGACCTTTAATTGATGTTTTTCTTTTCCATTTGGAGCAATTTTCTATTAACAAAAAGAAGTGCTCTATGTTATGAGTTCAATCATCTTATCTTGCATCTAAAGCGTCTTTGTAATTATATTTGATGATGTGGTGCATGCTTGTGGCCTGACATTGATGCATTCATGTGTGGAACCTGTCTGCATAAATGTTATTAAACCTGTCTGCTTCATGCTTTATAATATAGAGTAATATCTAAACTTGTTAGTTCATTGACATTATGCTGTAGCTGCAACTCCGTTTCTTCCAAAGACTTGGGGTTGGCTACTTGAGCTCATTGCTTATTTGGGGTCTTCTCCTCTATTAATCATAAGCTTCCATTTCTTGTCTTACTTTTTTGCTTTCCTCTTTCCTTTCTGTCACGTTTAACTTAATCAAATTATTCCTCTTCAATCAAAGTATTCATTTGTTCACTTGTTGTCATTGTGTCTTGTCAAATCATAATCTTATTCTGAACTGGTGCCACTTCTAGCTCGAGACGTATGCATTTATTTCTTGTATTTGCCTTTGCTTTTCAACAGCATTCTTTTTTCTTGTAATGGCTTTGGCTATTACATATTAATATCATGGTTCTTGGCATTCTGTTTGACTTTTACTAAAGTTGTGTTCCGTATATTTGTAGTGTTGGTCATACTTATCTTAAAACCATTTAATTCTGAAGCATCTTTCCTAGTTGTAGCTTAAAATTAACCCCTACTCCCTTTTCATGAATTGAAACTATACCCTTGGGGGATAAATTACAAAGACTCTTATTGGGTATATCTATAGGCTAAACCCAAAGTGTAATCATATGAACTAAGTGCTAACCCTTTTAAGATTATTTGGGATTGGAAGTCAACTTGTCTGTAACCCTTTTGAGTCAAGTGTGGTTTTGAATGGTAGGAGAAACAGACTTTTGTCTCTGCTCTGCTCATTAATGTTCTTCTTACCTTTAAGTGGAGAAGAACTAGAATGATATTTTTTTTCTTTGATGATAATATTATAATGGACGCTTGATGTTTTCAAGTAAATAAACTTATTTATGTGCACATGTTTGTAAGTCTGACTATGTTATCCTTTGTTATATTTACCGTTTTGTCTCTTGAACAATTAATCCAATGCCTATAATGCAAAATCATGATTTATAGACCATTCTTGAAACATTCAGTAAAACCTCTTCAACACGGCTTATAATGTTATTAGAGGATTCACATAACCAACTTCCAGTAGATGTGATTTAAAGTGATATTGAGTGGATTTTCATATGGGCTGTGCTTGTATGTTTGTTAGGTAGACTGCTAATGTAAATGCTGTCCCTGTATCTCATGAACATGCATTCTGAAATTTATGGCAAAGAAGGGTTCATTGATTTGTGTAGTTATGCAATTGGGGTTTAAGGCTTGTGTTGGATGCCCACTACATGCATTAGTTTCTGAAACAATTAATGGGTCAGGTCATTTTTAAATCCTGCCCCTACTGTGTGCCTCTAGTCTTCGAATAAATTACTAAGTGATGATTTGAAAGTGGTCTCTGATAATCAGTTTAATTAAGCTATCTTAATAAAATTTGAAGCTTAAACAGACTGACCAAAAACATACATTGGATTTGCCCCCCTTTTCATTTTTGGTTCATGAATAATACTCATGATGTTGGCTATGCTTTCATGTATTATATCTATTCATGTATCTCCTTTTGATGGCTATATTTAAAATTTGTTAATTGCTCTTTGGTCGCCTTCGATTGTACAATCATAATTTACCCAAATTCATACAGCTTTTTATGCTAAAATTACTTGTATGAAGTGTACTATTCTTTGGTCTAATTTTTCTCCACCATTGTGTTGTAGGATCAAATCAACTTGGCTGACGTCAAGTACCCACTGGAGCATTTTAAGGTAGGTTAAAACCTGTTCATTTATTTGATACACAAATAGAATTTTAACAGAATGACATTTGGTTTCTTTTTGGGTATCGGGGAGCCCTTTGTTTAAAGGAGTTCCTCTTTTTTTAATTGCAGCAGATTGGGGGGCAGATTGTGATATGTAGTGCTTTGTTTTGGTTTTGAATTTTTTTCGTTTTGTTTTTTCACTTGTACCCTTTTTCTGAGGATGCCTCATCCTCCTATCTTTGGCTCTGTGCCTTAATAAAATTCTTGTTTGTTGCTGATCAAAAAAAAAAAAATTTAAAAAAAAAGAAGAGATTTTTCATTCTTGGGCCTTTGTTAAGAGTGAACTTTATTACTTTGACACATTGCCGTCACTTGAATTTGTAAAAGACATGTTTGTCAATATGTAGAGTGAATTATAGTTTTTATGTCATAATATTTGGTTACATCTCATTTTTCAACTAGTTAAAGCTTTGGACTGCTGGAAACATATTTTTCAGAGAGATCTGTGTTCTCAAGCCCTTTGCGTATACATAAGTCAACTTCACTTATTGGTTACAGTTAGAATGTAAAATGAAGGAATTTAGGGTTGGGATTTAGGAGGAGGAAGAAGAAGAATAAGAAGAAAGAGAAATTTTATATATATTGAATAATCATAGTGCCTCAACTTTACATCAGTCAAATATATATACAAACCCTAACATAACAATATGACCATTGTATCCTCAACTTAAGTAAATATTAACAAAAGAGCAAAATAACAAAATAACTATTCTAACAGTTACTAATTATAAAGCGAGTGGTTTCCCTAATTTGCTTGCTCGATGGCTTCACTATATCGGCATCTGGTAATATCAGTGAGGATTATAGAATTTAAACCAAATCAGAAAGGCAAATATTTGTTTTCTCTAGTTGCAGCCTTGGCTGCCGTTGACCAAGAATCAGGAAGCCATGACATGCTATTGTTATGATTCAGATCTTACCTGATCTTGGTGCTATATCATTATCCTTGCTGGTGCTTTATTAAGTTATTGCAATGCTACAGTTACCATCATGGTTTTGAATAAATTGAACTCATAGTTTCTACGCGTGCAGACATTTAACGAATTTTTTATAAGAGAGTTGAAACCTGGTGCAAAACCAATTGCTTGCATGGAACGTGATGATGTTGCTGTATGTGCTGCTGATAGCCGCCTAATGGCATTCACAAATGTTGAAGATAGTCTAAGATTTTGGATTAAGGTATCATCTTCTTTCTTTGTTCTTTATTTATTTATTTATTTGTTTTGTTTATTTTTTCAGACATTGCTTGGTTACTTTTATGCTTTCACTAATTTGAAAATAGGTATGACAGCAGATGTTGGGAGGAGCAACATATGGAGCCAATTAAACAATCTTACCCATATTATAATTTTATCTGCTTGTTCCATTGCAAACCATTCAACATGAGCACCTTTTTGGTGAATCTCTTATTTTCTCATGAACATGTTGTGCATGCATGCATGTCTTCCATGTTGGACTTAGCTACCTGATCCTGATTATCTCCCTAGCAAAAGTTATTCTGTTTTATATTTACTCATTAAATAATAGAATCTAACAAGCAGTGAGAAAATGCAACCTGCAATCTGGTTGAAGTCCAAAAATTTGTAAAGAACCAATAAAATGCATAAGACTAGCAATCTTGAACAACAAACCTGGCATGTTGGAACACAGCTGTGGGTGGTTTCTTCAATGAATACTAATGCTAGAAAAACTGAAACTGTCAATCTCCTTTATTAGATAGATGGAAGAATGCAGCAAAGAAGAATCACATGTTAAAAATAAACAACCTGATTCTATGAGCTATTTAAATTTGAGAAAAGCCTTCATGTTATTTTATTTCTTAAATGGAATCTTTCTTCTTACTCTTAGGGTCGAAAGTTTTCTATTCAAGGTCTTCTGGGGACAGAAATATACTCCACTGCTTTCATGGATGGATCCTTGGTGATATTTCGATTGGCACCACAGGTATTTGGTGCAATTTTCTATTATGTTTTGTCCAACAAAGGTTCTTACGACATTATAATTTCCAGTTTCCATATTCAAGGCTTAACATTTCCAATGCAGGATTATCATCGTTTCCATTTCCCAGTATCTGGAACCATTGAAAATTTTGTTGATATACCTGGATGCTTATATACGGTATGTGAGGATTTAATATTAATTTTGTGTTTGGTTGCTCATCGGCATCTTTCTTGTTTTTCTTGTATTCCCTCCTGATTGCTGCTGTATTTCGTATATTCAAGGTTAACCCTATTGCTGTAAATAGCAAGTACTGCAATGTATTCACTGAGAATAAGCGGGTGGTATCTGTTATTTCAACAAGAGATTTTGGAAAGGTTTGTTGTTTCAGATATTTGGCAATAATTTTGTAGTTTCAGCTTTTTCTACATTAATGACAAATGATGTCACTGCCTTGGTACGTCACATTTCCTTAGGCAAGCTAATTGCATGAGACTTATTATTGCACAATTAGTGTTAATCATTGGTTTGTTTTATGCTACACAATTGAATGTGGCAGCATTGCCCTGTAACAATGTAATCCTCCATTTGAATCTGTAGGATATTGTTCTTTTTCTTTTCTTCGATTATAGTGCATGGGCCTCATCCTCCCATCTTTGTTATAACTGTATCCTTGTTTTGTAAGATGATTTTTTTTTTAAGTGCAAGTACCTTGATTTTCCACCATTATCGTGGCAGCTTCCTTTTATGGATACTAATCTCAGCATGTTTCCTAATCCCTTTTTTTTTTTTTGGATGAGGATATTTCCTTTTCAATCAGCAAGAAACCTTGGCTCTGTTTGGTTAAGTTCTTAAAATCTGTTTCTGAAAATTTTCAAAAACTAGTTTGGTTAAAAAAAAATAAAAAAATAAAAAAATAAAAAACTCAATATTTTCATATGGTTCTCTCTTTTTCTCTCTCTCTCTCTCTCTCACTCTCTTTTTTTTTTTTTTTTTGGGACAAAATAATTTCTGTTAAGCCATTATTGTTTTTGGATAAATAATAGATAATTTTATTGAAAGAGCATCAAGCCAGTGCTAACAAATGCAAGAATAAAGGGCAAACAACCAGCACCACCTAACCATGAAGAGAGTCATTTCTGTTAACTATCATTCTGGGGTTCTGGGAGGGTTTTTGGTGTGTCAAGTCTAACCGTCATTTTTTATTCACATGAAGTGGCTGCCCTTAGACTTGAACCAGCATTGTCACACTTGATGGTAAAAGTCATTACTATTATAGCAACCAATAGGCCCATGAACCAACTGTTTTTATGTACTGACAGAAAATATAATAAAAAATGCCTTTCCGAAGGGTAAACCTTTAAAATTTGGGTGCAGGTAGCATTTGTAGCAATTGGAGCTACAATGGTTGGCAGCATCACCTTTACGAAGAAGAAGGGGGATCATGTCCAGAAAGGAGATGAGGTTCATATTTTATGATACAGTACCTTGTACTTTTCTTCTTTTCCATTCATTGCTACTGCTTAATTTCTTACAAGAATTCTACCTTCATTAATCGAATTTACAGTTTGGATATTTCTCATTTGGTGGAAGTACCGTCATCTGCATGTTTGAAAAGGTTAGTGCCTAAGTACTTTTATCTTGAATAGAGTGATAACTGGTCAAACTTTGTTTATCTCATCCTTTTATTTATGTTGTGTAATGGAAGAAAACAACATTTGGCACTTCACGTGTATGGTACCCACCATGTTCATATCTTTCTTTTGCTTTGATACATCTTGTACATGGAGACCAATAGGCACGGGGGAATGAAGAATATCATTTTGTTTTGCATAAACTTGGGACCAGTCTTTTGTTTCCATTTGCATTCAAGTGAATGATTTCTAATAAGTACAGGTTTTTTTTTTTTCTTTGGTTCATTAAATTACAAGAATGATGTAGTTTTTTACTATTTTATTGCCAACTTTTTCCAGAGGATAGTCAATGGATGGGTTTTTTCCCTTTGTGGAACAATGGTATGGATTTTGTTGTATTTTGCACTTGAATGTGCCTTGGTGATTTTGTCCTTGAATGTGCCTTGGTGATATTGTCTGTAGTCAATTAGAACTCTGCATATAATATAAGTAGCACTGCACTTCTGAAAGGACCCGTTCAGACAGTTCGACACACTTCTTGGATGCTCTCAACATGATCAATATTGTGAATTTATAATGAGAGCGTTGTTTAACATTATTGGGAAAGCAATTCACTCACCCAATGACCCAAAATTGTATATCTTAAAATATTTTCGAAGAAGGAAAACATTTTATGCATTACTAAAGAAAGTAAATATATAATGGACAATACTAATATGAAAAAAGAACATTGTAATAAAAAAATCGTACAGAGAAAGCAAGCAGTGGTTTGATACATTATAGAATTATATTTGTGGAGTTTCATTTTCTACATTTTGTAGTTGTAAGTATTAGATAATAAAATAAATTATATAATTTTTCTTTTATATATATATATATAAAGATGGGTGAATATGTTAACAAATTGTTGTATTCTTGTTGTGTTGGTATCATACTTTTTAAAACAATTCTCTGTCAGTGCTTCTGCATCATGTATAGTCCCTATTCTCTGTTGTCTGTGCACAGTTGCAAGTGATAATATGCTGACGTATTGTTTTTTTGATAAATAAAATCAGATATTATTAAAAAGCATTAAGGAGATGCAAAGAATACAAAACTAAAGCCCACAAGAGGCCACAAACTAAGAGATTAAATCATCCACAAAATCTACAAAAGCCAACACATCTGGATCCACTGACGTCGTACCTTATTCTCTAACCAAGACACCGAATGAGAAATCCCCTAAAAATTTCGTATATTACGCTCCAACCAAACTAGCTACATTAAGCACTGAGCAAGCAACCATGCCTTGCATCTTCGCCTCCCAACTCTCACCCCTGGCTGAACCCAAACCATCCCAAACAAACCCCTACAATAAGCACCCATAGCCTAGCCACTACAGAACAATGGATAAGTAAATGATCCACTGATTTTGTAGCTCCACAGCACATACAACACCAATTGACCAAAATGCGCTGATGTTTAATTCAAATTGTCAATAGTCAAAATATGCCCCAAAAGCTGTCTATGCAAAGAAAGCAACCTTGGAAGCAGATCCTGTAACCCAAACACTTTTCCAAGGAAACAACACCCCTGCCCCTCCCACAAGCTAACGATAATATGAGGCCACCGAAAAAACACCTTTGGCCTTCGGACAAGCCCACACCACAGAATCTCCCCCAACTTCCCCACACCGCACCCTATGCAGTCTGCAGAAAACCCAAATGATCAACCAATTGGTCCACCTCTCAATCTTGCACCTCACGCAACAAAAGAATGTTCCATACAGTCATCTGCCCTTGACCAATCCCATAAGAAGCCACCATCGCATCCGGATCAATAGCAATATGGAAAATCAAAGGGAACAACTGTGATCGCAGTTAAGTATGAGCAGGCTGTTGGGTGTCTCGTTTGAGGGTCATGAAGCGGAGGCAATGAAACTATTTTCCACAATTGAGGCGTCTTGGAGAGGGTCTGCCCTGACTAGACGAGGGACAAATTGTTCAGCATAAGGAGAAGAGTGTGAAGGAATTGTGCAACTTGTAGTGTTCCATTAATTATGATCGGCGACCGGGAGGCAGTGTTCGGGTTCAAGGAAGGGGCGTGGTGATCAACTATTGTTGCCATGTGGTTTTCGGACAGGCCCGTATTGTTATGCTGTCATACTTAACTGCGATCTGTATTCTGTCTCATTTTCCAAACTCATATATATATTAAGAGGCATGGACAGATATAGACACGGACATGGGACATGGCAAGTTTCAAAAATCAGGATGCGAAAACGGTGGGAATATGAGGAAAAATATATATTTCTATTTGCTATGTATATGGATATTAAATCTGTGAACAACTAGCAATAATTAAAACTAATGCTGATTCAGTAAGCAAAAGGCTAAGGCTTATTCAATATGAAAAACAACTCAAGCTAGGAGTTAAAATTTATTCAACGTCGAAGTATTTTTATCAATCATAAGCCATCATCACATCAAAGTAGTTTGACTTAATCAACTCGAAAATTGTGGGTATGCTACTAGTTCAAGTAGAAAAATACCAGTTTTTTTCTTATAACCATTGCAAGTTAAAAAAAAACAGCATTTTCAATAATTAAACACTAATTTAGAATGACAATTCAATAGTTTCAACAATCAAACACTTCAAAAATTTGAGGGAGAGAATATGACATAGTGATGATTATGAACTCATGAGAACTCTTTTTACAGCTCATGGCAAAATAACTGTGGCTTGTGGTGTGTCCAGAGGCAAGACATACATGTCCGTGACATGTCACCAACATGTCTGGAAAAATAATTAAAAAGTGGGGCATGCCACATGGAGTTTCTAATACATATCCTGCCATATTTGAGGCGTGTCAGACAGGTCTATAGCAACTAAGTTAAAACGTTTGTGCTTCATAGTGTGAATATATATGCTCTCTTTTTGTGTTCAACTATGTATAAATAATTTCATTCTTGGATATTTTCATGTTCATTGCCTTAATGTTGGTACTTTCATTTTCACTATATATAAGTTATTTATCCTGCAACGTGCTTAAGGTTTTATGGTTTCAATTTTTGAGAAATTCAAAATGAAACTCTTATGAGACAAGTTTTCAACATTTTCTCAAGTATTCCTATGTAATCACTTAGCTAGCAGTCATACCAAAACCTTTTGTAGACCATCTATTGTTTGTGAAAGACAAAACTTGGCTCGTAGCTGGCATTCTTTCCTTGTTTCTTGCATCATTGTCATTGAAGAGCATGATTTTTCCATAGCATGTTGAAGGTTATGTGGATATAAATAAGAACTAACCAAAGATAACTCTTTCAAACATAATAGGTTTGTAAAGAATTTAAGGTAGTGTCTGGTTCATTAGAATGAGGTGGAATGGAATGATCATTCCAACAAAATGTTCATTCTCATGTTTGGTTCACTAAGTCTATGTTTGGTTTAGGGATTTGGGAAGAGATTTGGAAAGGGAAAGTATGTGAAATGTAGTTATATTTTATTCACATTGCACCTATCTTTTCCCATTCCCTTTCCAAATTCCTACGCAAATCTATGAACCAAACACAACGTAAAGGAGGCTGAGGAATGACCATGCCATTCCATTACACTTTTATTTTAATGAACCAAACACACCATAAGGTTATATGTATCAATTCAGAGAATATATATGTGATTATGCCGATTATTTATTTGCTACTGGCCCAATTTCTGGGAAATTCTACAGGATACAATAAAGATAGACAAGGACCTCTTGGCAAATAGTGCAAGATCACTTGAGACCTTAGTTTCTGTTGGAATGACTTTGGGTGTCTCCACAAAGAAATCCTGAAATTGGGTTGCCAAACTTGGAGAAATGTGTTTTACAGGCTTGAGATGAATACCGCCATTTCAGACTCATCGTTAGCCCTGGACTTTGTAAATACTAAATGTTAGATATTAGTCTTGCTGATGCTTAGCTATTCATTGTTGTCAATTATGGAAACAGTTGTTAATCTCCACCTTCGTTTGTAGATATATGCACAGAAAATAATCCTATTTTGTACCATGTGATATTTTGGATTCAATTTGATTTTCTGGTGATTAGTTGCAGTCATCTTGCAAAGGATGGAAACAGATGCTGATGATAACTGTTTCTTCGCTTTTAAATTTATTACATCTGTACATGTGAATGATCTTCTACTGGTGATATGTATTTAATTGTTTCTTTTCTTTTAAATTTATTTCATCTGTACATGTTACCGATCTTCTTCTGATGATATAGGACAGTGACAGTTGCAACAAAAAGAATGCTGAACGATAACAAAGCTTCAGTAAGTATGTGTGTAACCTCCCATGTTGTAAGGATATGTGTTTGGTTGCATATTTGTCAATCCGACCTGGCCGTGCATCCCATCCCTCGCATATTGCTGCCACATCAGTTGCTCCTCCACTAACATCCTCTGCTTCTTCTCCATCTCCGACATCTGCACGAAAGCCGGTGGTGGCACCGGAAGCGACGCCGCAAATGGGTCGGCACCTGTTATAGCTGCCACACTTCCGTCTGCCGCCGGAGGTGCTGGCAGCGCCAACATTGCTGGCCTTCCAGCTGATCCAAACGCTACGCTGCTAGCACTTCCGGTGGTCACAAAACCCGACGAAGCCATTGCATGTGTTGTTGCTCCTTGTTGATACATGCCGTTGAGTAGCATCATATCGAAACCGCCTGGAAGCGATGGATTCTGGTTCGACAAATGGCTTGTGGATTGAACGAGTGTCGTCTCCCAGTTTTCCATATCTTTGAAGGCTTCCCACGCTGGAGTTGTCCCCGGACCCATTACTGGTGCACCACCGTCAAACAAGGCTAAAGCCAATTTATCCCCGTGTTCTTTGCTCGTTACCGCGTCTTCGCGCAAGTTCAACAAATCGGCTTCTATCTGGACGATGGTATTATTATCCTTTTCTTTCGGCTCCTCCGCCACCTCTTCCTTCTCTTCTTTCTCTGGCTCAGGCAATTCTTCAGGCGGTGGTAATGCCTTGATCATGCTTGTGTCCTCTTCAACAACTTCAGACTTCTTGTCTTCTTCCTCGGTTTCACTCTTCTGTTCCAAATACTCAGCCCTCCTGTTATGCATAGATTCGGACTTGTCCCGTATATATTCATCCATAACATCGAGTTTTTTCTGTGTAACTTTTTCAACCTCTGGGTATTCAGAAGAGCGTGCAATCCCAGTTTTCTTACACCATCCATAGAATTCATCGAGCTCATCAAACTGCTTTGATATGCGGCAGAAGATCTCATGGACCTTCACACTGTCAGAGACTTCTAGTCCCATGAACCGTTCGATTAAGATCCCCAGTATTTCTGTTATATCATAGTAGATCTGGAAGCTTTCTTTCACCAGTGGATAGAGAGCCACGTGCACAACCCTGTTATGCTTTGCTGTACCTGTTTCATAGATTGAAACAAAAACTTTAGAAGTAAGATCGGTACGCCTAGAATGAATCTGGGTCACACGTTGATTTTTACCTGTAGGGCGGCACGCTAAAACCCGCTCCAAGAGTTGCATCAGATGATGAACTCTTGAAAACACATGTTCGTTCTTCATGTCACGCACAGGCGTGTCTCTTGCGGAGGACGGACTAGCCACCTCGTCATCTTCCTCATCGTATGCAGTTATGCCACGCTTGCTTTTCTTCCTGCTTTGCGTCCTAAACTCGAGCTGTTCATCAAGATACAATGCGTAGGTGCGCACAAACGCGGAGTAGTCCCAGGAATCGGACTGGGATGTGTCGCGGAAATCAGACATGTTGAGAAGGCGGGTCCCGCGTCTCGTGGCAAAGAAAATCTCCTGTTCGAATGCCGGGTCGCCGTCAGTGAGGAGGCGTTGAATTAGCACGAGGGTCTTGATTGCCACGATCCAGTTCTTGGTCTTGTTGAGACGCTTAGCAATGGTGGCGATTGATGCACCGATGTAGGCACGGGAGTAACAGGTTAGATTCAGTACTTCTCGAATGTGCCGCTCATCGGCAGGGTATTCTTGGTGACGGGTGGCCTTAACGATGGCGACATCGAGGTCGGCGAGGGAGGCACTGCTACCAACTTTGGCCAGACCTATGCTTGTCTTGTCCTTGACTGCCCCAATGGCTTTTCTGAGCTTGCTCGGAGCCATTGATTTGGGGGTTCTTGTGGACTATACGTTTATTGTGTTGTGTGTTGTGTTTTGTTTTTGGTGTTGTTTGTTGTATATTCCCAATAGGATGGAGTGTCAACCTGAAATGATTAAAGTCAAACTTGTTAAGAACGTTATGATATATTTGTAATTTGCATGCATTCATATCAATTTTGTGCATATATATATATACATGTATTTGGATATGTGCCTGCATTTCCTACAACTCAGCCCATTTGCATTCTAAAACATTGATCTCACCACCAGCGGTAGCTGCTGCCACTTTAAAACCCTTTGCACCATCTATTCTTTTGACTTCCATTGATTTCAGTTGCTTCGCCGCCATTCTGCCACCACTACTTGTTCTTCCTTCTTTATTTGTATATATTCATGTTGTCTATGCATTAAAATAAATTGTCCTAACCAACTAGGTTAGTTTGATTGGTTAGAATTGTAGCACCTCAGAAGGGTTTGAGTTCTAATATTGAAAAAGATGCTCTATTCTAATAATAATAATAATAATAATAATAATGTCATCTTCAAAACTTTAATGTAGAAAATGAAAATTTCACCTTCTATTTTGCATGCTGATATATGTTCTAGAATTGATTTCGAAATCTCTCGTCCTTAAATCCTCTCTTACCTTGTTCCAAAAAATTGCTAATTATATGATTATGTCTTAAAATTTTCACATAATTGAATAGCTTTTAGTATTTTGAGATAAAAGACGCAGGATCATTGGCCATGAAAGCTATACGTATACTCTCTGCTCTGAATCTGTTTAAATTTCCCACGTAGCATCCAACATATATAATAATAATAATAATAAATCTTTCTAATATAAAATTTGTTAGACATCGAAGGGATTCTTATGTGTGACAGCTATTATTATGAGATAAAGAGTGCAAAATAATAAGAAGATACTTGAAAATACCTTAGGCACAGAAAAATCCTGAAAAGGAATGTCCAAGGGGAAGTGTTTTCCTGTTTGGTTCAAAGGAATGTCCAAAGGGAAAATCCTTAAGAAGTTTTCTAATTATATGATTATGTCTTAAAATTTTCACATAATTGAATAACTTTTAGTATTTTGAAATAAAAGACGCAGGATCATTGGCCATGAAAGCTATACGTATACTCTCTGCTCTGAATCTGTTTAAATTTCCCACGTAGCATCCAACATATATAATAATAATAATAATAAATCTTTCTAATATAAAATTTGTTAGACATCGAAGGGATTCTTATGTGTGACAGCTATTATTATGAGATAAAGAGTGCAAAATAATAAGAAGATACTTGAAAATACCTTAGGCACAGAAAAATCCTGAAAAGGAATGTCCAAGGGGAAGTGTTTTCCTGTTTGGTTCAAAGGAATGTCCAAAGGGAAAATCCTTAAGAAGTTTTTTGCTGTTTGGTTATATTGCACACAAAGGGAAGTTTCAAAAGAAAGTTTTGAATAGTAACTGTTTATATGAATTTGTTGTTTTCCCTCCTAGAATTTTCAAAGGAAAGAAAAAGATAAAGAAAAAAATTGAGAAAAAAAGGGGGAAGAAAGATGGCTTTGTCTACGCTACGCTCTCTTTCCTCTATTTCTGTGTTTCCCTTTTGAATGGACATTCTAGTCCCTTTCAACAACCTTACATTATCATTATAATTTTAGCAATGATAAAATTAGTAATTGAATGAAATTTTGATGATCAAATTGGCATGTTTGTCACATAAGAGGGTCTATTAACGAAGGTTATATGGTTGTCTGGTGTCAAACCTTTGACCATTTCAATGGTGTAATATAGACTGGTTAGTCAAAGGTTGGAGACTATAGTGATTTTGTATTGCATACATATTAGTCAACCTTGATCCTTTCCCCGTAATTTTAGTTTGGTCTATTCATTATTAATTGTGATAGTTAATTTCTTTTATTTTGACTTTCTGTTTATTTAACGTTAATGAAGTTGACAAAACTTAAAAGCTACTAAAGTCATATTTTGATGAAGTGGATAGAGGCAAATGAGATATAAAAAAATTGTCACATTTTGTTCACATAATTTTATTAACGGTAAATTGATTGAAAGGTAACATTATAACTTAATTTAGGTCTCTTTTAGGAAGTAAAAAAAAGTTGACTTATTGGTTTATTTAGGTCAGACTCTCTCTCTAATTTTTACATGTCTTTTCGTAACAAATTAAAAAGTTAATTTATAAGTCACTTCTCAAAATAATCCTAAATAATCCTAAGTATAAGAAGTTGATAGCCATGATTAAAATGAAATTATAGTGAAAAGTATAAAACTACCTAGTGCAATTAACTCATCAAATCAATCAACGTGTTTGGTTTCGGTTTTTCAAATTTATTTTTTTGAAATTTTTTCAGTTTTTGTTCGGTTAAGTTCAAAAATCAAAACAAGTTTTTAAATTTTTTTCCCGCATGCACACGTGGAAATAGAAATGTGAATGGATGTGAATTTGTTTTTTTTTTGTTTTCTTTCTACTTTTTAATGTGACTTGTTCTCTTTTATTTTGTTTTGTTTTGTTTTTTTGGTTTTGCTGAATGGTTTCAGCAAGTTGACCGATAGTTCAATGTGACAGGATTTTAAATTTTACGTTGACACAATATTCAATGTGGAGGGATTTTAAAATTAAAAGCAAAACAAAATTCAAAAATACTTTTGTATTTGATGTTACAAAAGTTTGTAAGTTGGTTACTTTACAAAATTATGAGACTAGTTTGTAAGTTGGTTACAAAGTTTGTAAAGTTAGTTACTTTACAAGTTTGTAAGTTGTATTTGATGTTATAAAATTATGATTTGATAATAGAGTTGTATTTTCAGTTTGTGAGTTTTGGAGTTATGATTTGAGTGTGAAAAATTTGTTTGGTTATGAATTTTGAATTGAGTGATGTGACATATGATATTTGATTCAAAAATTTACAATTCATAACTAAACGTACAACTCAAAATTCTATTCAAAACTCATAAAAAATTTTAAAAAAATTCTCAAAATATTTTTTATTTAAAATATAAAAATAACAAGTGCTAAAAAAAAAACACGAACACTGTTTCGGTCAACTTGCTGGATGTTTGGGGGGATGTCCGGGGGATGATCGAGTTTAAGTGTTTTGAAAAGTGAGTGTGAAATTAATTTTTAAAAATTGTAAACAAACAGAACACTCAAATCATGTTGTAGAATTATGTTTGGAAAGTTCCACCAAACACAGCCTTAATTTTTTTCTGCCAATTTGTGATTAAATTACGTATTTTGTGGTTGATATCATGAAATTTTATGATAAAGTCACAAATTTAATTGTAAGGTATGCACTCATAAAAAGGTACATATTAAATTATTTTTTGATACATATACAATATACATATATATATATATATATATATATATAAAACAAATATGCTTGTACTTTTGATGTGATAATAATTTTTTTTTTCAATTTGTTATTAAATACATTATTTAGGTTTCTTTTCTCAATGTGTGTGGAGGGATATTTGAATTTCTTTACGATAGTAAAATTTTTAAAAACCAAACATATATCTATTTTCAAAATATAATTTTAAAATCACTTTTAAAAGAGAACTCAAAAAACTAAAACCAAACATGATGAACACCATCCAGCTACACGGACAAACTAAATTCTTGTCAAATTAATGCAAATCAGACAACTAAATTATTTTATTTGAGCTTGATTTGTTTATTAAATGAGTTTGAATTTTAAACTCAAGCCTTGAGAATAAGGTTATTTTAGTAACTTTTTGACTAAAATATAAGGTGAAAACAATTAATATGTAATGATTTTTTTTTTGACTTTTTACTAAAAAAAGTGTTTAAAAAAAGAAAAAAAAAATCTTTGATTTTTTTGTATAATTCTTTGACTTTTTTTTTTGGTTGTGATTTTTAATTTTTTTTTAATTTTTTAAAAACTCGTTTAGGATGTTCCCAAACCAATGACTTGGTTTGAATGAATTATGTATGAATTGGGCTAGAAATATTTTACAAATATGCTTGGCTTGTTCAAAAGAAGAAAAAAAAAGAAAAAGAATACTTTTATCATTACAATTTATATATAAAAAAATGCTAAATCACATAATTTTAATAAGAATTTGATTTAAAAATAATATGACAATAATATATATTTTTAAACAAAAGAATCACGATAAAACACATGATTTTGTATAACAATATCGGTATTTTTTTCCCCATCTATGTATAATATTAAATGCTAAAATAGTTCTTTGCTAAACATCAAATTACTAGGAAGATATTTTTAAAGAAAGGAATAAAATTAAAAGGAGATAACAACAACTAGAACCATTTGAATCAAAGACAAATCAACAGTTGAAATATAAACCAACCACCTCAACCAACTAAACGATTAATCATTAAATTTAAGGGATTAGCCATAAATGAATGATGAGGACGGATTTATATTACTTTGTTTTCTTCATTGTTTTAAATTATTGAATTATGACGCAGGATATTACTTATTTTTATTAATTCTTTAATAATTATTTCTATACATAAAGCCAATCAATGATAATAAGTTTGATACAGATCTAATTTTTCAAATTACATCTATAAGAAAATCGATAGTTTTTTTTTTTTTTTCAAATTATAACTAATTTTTTGGCCATTTTATTTTTGTTGTTTGTAGTTTATTATTTAGTTGTTTGTTTGGTCATCTAAGATTTTATTTTTATTTTCATTTGTGTATTATTTATTTTATTTTAATATAATTATCTTTCTTGTTCCTCGAAAAAAAAAAATATTATAAAGTTTGCTCTTTGCATGTTGAACTTGATTTGACATTTATCAGTTTTTCTATTTCTCTGGATCATATGATTAGGAGGTATTGATTTTCGAATTTATGTGCTTGGATAGGTATAAAGAATCCTACCTATAATATCGGTTATGAAGAAATTTTTTTTTTTCTTCAAGGTTTGTGTTTTATAATAAAATAAACCTTTAATTTTTAATTTTATCAATTTAAACTCTAAAATTTTGATTTGTTTTTAATTTAAATTATTTATCTATATTTGATAAGTAAAATGGTAGAAAATAATATATTTTAACTATTAAACGGATGAATCACTAATCACCATGCTTGGTTAGAGTTTTCCGAAAACTCTTTTCAAAAATTCTACTTTCTTATTTTTCTTATTCTTTTGTTTTTATTGAATTTTTTTAATATTTTAAGCATTTTTTTTTACTTTTTAGACATACCTAACATAAATATACCTAAAAAGTAAAAAATTTGTGAAAGAAATCTTTTACTTTTCTTTTAAAAATATAAAAAAAAAAAACGAGAATTCCGTACATATTTTGTATTTTTATGTATTTATTAATTTTTTAAAATATTTTTTTACAATTTTTTTACTTTTTAGATACATTTAAGTAAGATGCATCTAGAAAAGTAAAAAAAATATTTAAAATTTTAAAAATATTCACTAAAAATAAAAAAACACGAAAACTAAAAAACTCAGTTTTCAAAAAACTTAATCCAAAAAACTCAAACCAAACACATGGTAAAGAATTTAAAAGAATCATATGCGATTAAAATTATGAGACTTAAACAAGTTGGGTCAATTTTAAGGAAAACATTTAATCTGTTTGGTTCTGGTTTTTCAAGATTATTTTTTTGAAAATTTTAGAGTTTTTGTTTGGTTAAGTCTAAAAATCAAAAAAAGTCCTCAAAATTTTTTTTTTTTTGGATGCACACTTGGAAACATAGATGTGATTCAATGTGACTTGTTCTTTTTTGTTTTCTTTCTACTTTTTTATGTGACTTGTTATCTTTTGTTTTGCTTTATTTATTTATTTATTTTTCTGGGTGTTGTTGAATGGTTCCAGCAAGTTGACCGAAAGTCCAATGTGGCGGATTTTTTAAATTTTACGTTGACACAATATTCAATGTGGAGGGATTTTAAATTTAAAAACAAAACAAAATTCAAAAATACTTTTGTATTTGATGTTATAAAAGTTTGTAAGTTGGTTACTTAATTTTTTATGCCAATTTGTGATTAAATTACGTATTTTGTAGTTGATATCATGAAATTTTATGATAAAGTCACAAATTTAATTGTAAGGTATGCACTCATAAAAAGGTACATATTAAATTATTTTTTGATACATATACAATATACATATATATATATATATATATATATAAAACAAATATGCTTGTACTTTTGATGTGATAATAATTTTTTTTTTCAATTTGTTATTAAATACATTATTTAGGTTGCCTTTCTCTATGTGTGGAGGGATATTTGAATTTCTTTACGATAGTAAAATTTTTAAAAACCAAACATATATCTATTTTCAAAGTATAATTTTAAAATCACTTTTAAAAGATAACTCAAAAAACTAAAACCAAACATGGTGAACACCATCCAGCTACACGGACAAACTAAATTCTTGTCAAATTAATGCAAATCAGACAACTAAATTATTTTATTTGAGGTTGATTTGTTTATTAAATGAGTTTGAATTTTAAACTCAAGCCTTGACACGTAGGTTATTTTAGTAATTTTTTGACTAAAATATAAGGCGAAAACAATTAATATGTAATGATTTTTTTTTTTTGACTTTTTACTAAAAAAAAGAAAAAAAAATCTTTGATTTTTTTGTATAATTCTTTGACTTTTTTTTTTTGTTTTTTTTTGTGATTTTTATTTTTATTTTTTAATTTTTTAAAACCTCGTTTAGGATGTTCCCAAACCAATGACTTGGTTTGAATGAATTATGTATGAATTGGGCTAGAAATATTTTACAAATAGGCTTGGCTTGTTCAAAAGAAGAAAAAAAAAAACAAAAGAATACTTTTGTCATTACAATTTATATTAAAAAAAATGCTAAATCACATAATTTTAATAAGAATTTGATTTTAAACTAATATGACAATAATATATATTTTTCAACAAAAGAATTACGATAAAACACATGATTTTGTATAACAATATCGGTATTTTTTTCCCCATCTATGTATAATATTAAATGCTAAAATAGTTCTTTTCTAAGACATCAAATTACTAGGAAGATATTTTTAAAGAAAGGAATAAAATTAAAAGGAGATAACAACAACTAGAACCATTTGAATCAAAGACAAATCAACAGTTGAAATATAAACCAACCACCTCAACCAACTAAACGATTAATTATTAAATTTAAGGGATTAGCCATAAATGAATGATGAGGACGGATATATATTACTTTGTTTTCTTCATTGTTTTGTATTATTGAATTATGACACAGGATCTTACTTATTTTTTTAATTCTTTAATAATTATTTCTATACATAAAGCCAATCAATGACAATAAGTTTGATACAGATTTAATTTTTCAAATCACATCTATAAGAAAATCGATAGTTTTTTTTTTCAAATTATAACTAATTTTTTGGCCATTTTATTTTTGTTGTGTGTAGTTTATTATTTAGTTGTTTGTTTGGTCCTCTAAGATTTTATTTTTATTTTCATTTGTGTATTATTTATTTTATTTTAATATAAATATCTTTCATGTTCCTCGAATTTTTTTTTTATTATAAAGTTTGCTCTTTGCATGTTGAACTTGATTTGACATTTATCAGTTTTTCTATTGCTCTGGATCATATGATTAGGAGGTATTGATTTTCGAATTTATGTGCTTGGATAGGTATAAAGAATCCTACCTATAATATCGGTTATGAAGAAATTTTTTTTTTTTTCAAGGTTTGTGTTTTATAATAAAATAAACTTTTAATTTTTAATTTTATCAATTTAAGCTCTAAAATTTTGATTTATTTTTAATTTAAACTATTTGTCTATATTTGTTAAGTAAAATGGTAGAAAATAATATATTTTAACTATTAAACGGATGAAACACTAATAAATCTCAAATAGTGATCTTATAAACTTTTTTTTTTTTTTTTTTTGAATCCAAAGGTCTCATTCTAGTGTAAATTATATAAAAGGGCCAAACATAAACATACTTGTGTTATGTATTGAAGGACAAATGTGAGTTTTCTCATAATATTGAAATTATTAAACATAACACTTTCAAAAAACTCATTAGTGTATTTTTTTCATACATAATATTCTAATATAACGCATTAAAAAACTCCTTAGCGTACGACATAACATTCTACAAAAATTTCTTAGCGTATTTTTTTCAAGCATAACACTTTAATATAACATACTAAAAAACTTCTTAATATAATTTTCTCAAACGTAACTAACAACGTAACATTCCAAAAAACTTTCTAATGTACTCTTTTCAAACGTAATAATTTAAATCAATATAACATATAAAAATTTCTTAGTATACTTTTTTCAAACGTAACATTTTAAAAAAATTCTTAATATATTTTTTCCAAACGTAACACTCTAATGTAACAACACAAAATCACACTAACACCACGCTCGACAATCAATACTTTAGCCACCAATCTTCCAAAAAGAATCGTAACACTCTAATGTAACAGTACAAAACTACACTAATAGAAATATAGATTTCCATGCTCGACAATCAATACTTTAGCCACCAATCTTTCAGAAAGAATCTTTCATATTTCACCTTTCATTCTCATCCCAAAAACAAATCAAAAAATTAAAAAATAAATCACAAAAAAGCATTTATTTAAAGTCAAATAACACTTAATCAAATAAATATAATTTTCCAAAACAAGAACAACTAATTGATTCATAAAAAAAACTCTTAAAATTAGATTGATCAATATTTCTCCACATAAGATTTATGATAAATTTTCCTTTTTATTTAGAAACGAAAGAAAAAAAACAAAAAATAAATAAAATTTAAAAAATTGACTACAAAACAAAACAAAACAAATCACATGCAATTCACTTGACACCTTGCCATCTCTCCCTTTAAATGCTTGACACCTTGAAGTTCAAAGAACTGCAACACAGATTTCATCTCTCTCTCTCTCTCTCTCTCTCTCTCTATCCACAAACACACAACATATATACATAACCTTCTTCTTTTGAAAATATACATACACATCCAAATATACAGTTAATAATAGCATTCAAAATGGTACTAGTACTAGTGAATTTGATTCTCATTTTGAGTTGTATAGTTGGAATCTCACAATCCCAACTCCAAGTCGGCTTCTATGCCGATACTTGCCCTGACGTCGAGTCCATTGTCAACGGCGTCGTTCGGGACGCTTTTCTCTCCAACTCCAACACTGCCCCTGTCTTGCTTCGCCTCCACTTCCATGACTGCTTCGTTCAGGTCCCTCTCTCTCTCTCTCTCCCCCTCCTCTGTGTGTGTGTGTGTGTGTGGTTTGTAGCTAAGGTGTTTGTTGATTTGATTGATCAGGGGTGTGATGGGTCGATACTAATAGATAATGGGCCAAATGCGGAGAGACATGCGTTTGCGCATCAAGGTGTTGGTGGGTTTGAAGTGATAGAGAGAGCCAAAGCTCAGTTGGAAGCTGTGTGCCCAGGCGTGGTTTCTTGCTCAGACATTGTCGCCTTGGCTGCTAGAGATGCCATAGCCTTGGTATTACTCTACACCACTCTCATCCTATATATATATATATATTGTTATATTACATGTTAGTAATCCGTAACACCTACATAGAATCAGTGAAACATCTAATCAAGAGTGAAACCGAATACAAAAATAAAGATTTACGTAATTCATTCCAAACTAAGACTACGTCAAAAAGGTTAATAAAGAATCATGAGATAGTCCTTCCCTCAATATAGAGTTATATAACACGCTGCAAGTGCAAAAGTACTGAAAATACCCAATAATATAATGCAAATAACTCATTACTTTTTTGTCAAAAAATAAATTTTCAAAATTGCCCATATTGTTACTAGTTTTTTAATTCAACTCTCTTCATTTATTAAATTGTCAAAAAAAAAAAAAAAAATTATGTGAAATTACAAACACAACGCGTTTACTCCCGCTGTTATTGTTATGTATGTGTACATATTGATTGTTGGTTCATGCATTGATGTGAATATATAAGATTTTGTTGTGGTTGATGATATAAGATTATATGTTTTTGCTCCAAACTCCTTTTTATTGATATAATCTATCATCCCTTGTATGTTTTCATCAATAAAGATTTTCTTTGCCGATCAAAAAAAATATAAGATTTTGTTGTGGTTGATGATAACTGTTAGTATTATATATTTGTATATATTGATTGTTGGTTTATGTATTGATGTGAATATATGGTTTTTGTTGTGATGGATGATCATGGGACAGGCCAATGGACCAGCATACCAGGTTCCAACTGGCCGGAGAGATGGGTCAGTTTCCGATGTTTCGATGGCCAACAACATGCCGGGTGTTAGCGACTCGATTGAGCAACTCAAAGCCAAGTTTTCGCAGAAGGGACTCTCAGACCAAGACCTTGTGGTTCTTACTGGTACTGTGAGCTTCTCTCTCTCTCTCTCATGCAGATTCCATTGTGTGATAGTAGGTAGCAATTTAAGTAATGTGAACAAGTTGCTAATAACTATTGAAATGATGACAAATGAAAATGAGGGAAAGAAGGTCAGAAATATTTTGTTTTATTAATTGATAAGAAAAATGATGTATAAATCTTATTATTTTTGTCACTTCATATGTGGATCTGCATAATAACGGCATGTGTAAATAAATGATATCATTTCTAAAAAATACTATGCCTCCGTTTGGGAAGTGGGTTGGCTTTTTGACTTTTTGGCTTTTTTAACTATTTTAGCCTGGGCTTAAAAGCTTGGTTTGGGAATGACTTTTTAGCTTTTTGGCTTTTTTGAGTTTTTTTGTGAGAGAATAATGTAATGATTATGGGTTGGATGTGATGTTTTGTTTGTTATGGCTAAAATAGCTTATTTTATTTTTTGTGGCTAAAATAGCCAAAAAAGCCCAAACCATGACTTTCCAAACGAACTAAGGTGTTATGTAACAATAAAAGTTTTAAACATGATTCATTTCAATAATATAATAGACCAATAAAGAAACGTTTGTAATTATTAATTTGTATATCATTACTTTGTTGTTTTTTTTTGTTTTTATTTATAAATATAATACGTCTTACATGGATAAATGCTTGTTCTATAGATATGCATAGGTGTACACTTGTTCTGTAGATACCATAGGAGGCAAAAGACCGATGAAATTAAATTTATTCGGTGATAAATAGCTTCCCTCAATTGATAATAGGTCCCTAAGATGAATAAGATGGCGACAAAGTTATTAAATATTGTTTTAATTAGTGGGCAGCCAAATTATTGTACCAGCATACATAAAAAGGATTGCTTTTTATGATTTTAATTACTATATATTCTTGTTATGTGGATCTGCATAATAACGGCATGTGTAAATAAATGATCAATCATTTCTAAAAAATACTATATAAATTAAGGTGTTATGTAACAATAAAAGATTTAAACATGATTCATTTCAATAATATAATAGACTAATAAAGAAACGTTTGTAATTATTAATTTGTATATCATTACTTTGTTGTTTTTTTTTGTTTTTATTTATAAATATAATACGTAGCATGGATAAATGCTTGTTCTATAGATATGCATAGGTGTACACTTGTTCTGTAGATACCATAGGAGGCAAAAGACCGATGAAATTAAATTTATTCGGTGATAAATAGCTTCCCTCAATTGATAATAGGTCCCTAAGATGAATAAGATGGCGACAAAGTTATTAAATATTGTTTTAATTAGTGGGCAGCCAAATTATTGTACCAGCATACATAAAAAGGATTGCTTTTTATGATTTTAATTACTATATATTCTTGTTTTAATTAGTGGGGCACCTTAATTATGGTTACTTAATATGATCTCAAACCTTAAGACCAGTGGCTGCTCAAACCATCTTATCTAGAAATTAAGTTGAAAGTCACAATGCATTAAATTTGCCTAACAAACACGGTCCATGATCATCACACAGTAGATGATATATTAGACCAGTTTTTGCTTAAAGTGAATTGTCTATTTTCAATAAATGTGCTTGATTTTCTTAGTTGTCAGAAATTAAAAGCTGATCTTATTGTTAGTTCGCACAAACTCATCATCATGTGCTTCATGACCAATAGAAACTGTAAATTAATCAAGGGATGGATGGAGCTGACATAATCCATCTTGATTAATTGATTGGAAGATTTGAGTGGTCCATCTATCCATCCATCATCTTTTAAATTAGCAATAATTCTATGTTAGACATTGACGTACCACATGATGTATCAAAATTTTTAATTATTATTTTTTTGCAAGACATTTTAAGAACACTTCACAAACACATACATCTTGTGTTTGGACACGCCTTATGACACCTTTATGAGTTTCATTTTTTTTTTGTTTTTGTTTTTGTTTGTTTTTTTTTAATTTATAAAGTTGATTTAGGGTCAAAAATAAAAAATAAAAAATGAAAACAAAGAGGGAGAAAAGTGAATTTCTTTAAAAATACACACACATACATTAATTCCTTTTATATCTTTATGTCCTAGCTTTATATTTATATACATAGTAAACAAAAAAATATATATATAAAAAAATAATAATAATAATTTGTCGTATTTCCACCGTATTCGTGTCCAATTTTTTTTTCAAAGCCACCATGTCCTCCATTGCTTAGAGTCGATTTGATCCATGTCACCCATCTTGGTCAATTGAATGAGAGATTGGATCGGTCCATCCATCCTCATTTACATGGCCTCAATAAGTCATTAGCACTACATACACATGATAGTGTTTTAAGATTATTGAATAATTTTTCTTATTTAAATACATTTGAGGGTTTTAATTTTTAGTGTAAAACACATTATTCATTTCTCAACCACAATCATTTTTTAGTACACTATTGTCCCTACATCTCATAACTAAAGTTCTTTCTTTGGTTAATAAACCATAGCCTTCTCTTAATTTGTTGAATTTAACAAGACTTCTTTACAAAATTTTCAGCTGCACACACCATTGGCACCACGGCATGCTTCTTCATGACCGACAGGCTGTACAATTTCTTCCCCAGTGGGGGCTCGGATCCTTCAATAAACTCTGAGTTTCTACCGGAGCTCAAATCAATGTGCCCACAAAATGGAGACGTTAATGTCCGAATACCCATCGACCGTGGCAGCGGGCAGACATTCGACAACCAGATTCTGCAGAACATTCGCAGCGGCGCTGCAGTGCTAGAGTCAGACGCAAGGCTCTATGATGATGAGGCAACAAGAAGTGTGGTAGACTCATACTTTGATGCCCTAAGCCCCCTATTTGGACCATTATTTGAGACAGATTTTGTGAACTCAATCGTGAAAATGGGCCAAATTGATGTCCAGACTGGTACTCAGGGGGAGGTTAGGCGTGTTTGTGGATCTTTCAATTGAATTGTACAATATGTTTTTTTATGTGCTTGTTCGTTCTTCAATTGGGGTTTGGTTATTGTAGTTTAAATGAGTTGATTGGAGTTTATTTTACTTTTGGAGTCTGTGTGTGAGATTGTTCAATTTAGTTGTATGAAATGTTTATATGCTCGTATGAGCATTTATTTGAAGGGCTTGCAATGGGTGTAAATCGCTGGTCAATTAAGGTCAATAACAATTACAGTGTGTTAAAAAGACCAAAATTAAGGGTGATTCTACTTATATCACTACTTTACCTCTTTACACCTTTTATATGAATTTTTTTTTCCTTCCAATTTTATCCATGTGTGAAATTACTTTTAAGTACAAAACATTAAAATTAAATATATTTGATTATCTCCTTACACCCCTTGGTCTTCCATATTTACTCATCTTTTTCTTTTCTCAACTTTTTTTTTTCTCTTGCACATCTTTTTTGAAAAAGTGAGAATCATAGTGTTTTGATCATCAAAGAAAGCAATAGATGAATAAACGGTGGTGAAGAACCATAAAAAAAGTGAAATGATGAGTTTTTTTTATTTGTTTGGTAGGTTTTTGTTTTGATTTTCTAGGCTGGTCTTCGACTTTTGTTTGATATTTCGAAATTGAACAAAATAACATAGTCCGGTATTAAACTGCCGAACAAAAAATATAAGTCTGGTATCCAGCTGCCGAATAAAAGATACATTTTCGGTAATATAAAGCCGGACTTTTTAAATTTGTTCGGCTACTCATTGCCATGTATGTTCAGTTTCTCTTTTTTTTTTTTTTTTTTTTTTTTTTTTTTTTTTTTTGTTGCTTGGAATGATTATACTTATACTCATTGCAACAACGCAAGTACTGCATTATTAGTGGACTCCAGCCATGAATTCATTACAGACGAGATTTGTTAAGTTTTTTTATGAATACAATTTTTTCTTATTTTTAATTGGTATTGAGTTTTATTATAATTTGATGTATAAATGTATTTATTATGTTTAGATTTTTAGTAGTCGTCAAGTATTAATTAAATAGGCTTCTGACGTTGGGAGGAAGACTGGATTTGCCATTGTTATAAAGATATCAGATGCAGGAGGTAATGACAGAAAATCAAAACTTACCCTTACTTGTGAAAAAAAGTGGTTACTATAGATATAACAGGAAGATCAAGGGGAAACGATTGAGGTTGACAGATTCTAAAAAGTGTGGATGCCCATTCCTATTAAGGGGGAAAAATTACCTACAAATGATGAATGGATGTTGCATGTCTTATGCGGAGTGCACAATCATCCGTCAGCTGAACATTTTGAAGGGCACTCATTTGCTGGCAGATTTTTTAAGGAGGAAACATCCTTATTAGTTGACATGTCAAAGAGTATGGTGCGACCAAAAGAGATATTGGTTACATTGAAACAAAGGGATGCCTTTAATGCGACAACAATGAAGATAATCTACAATGTACGTCATCGATATCAAGTAGTACAGAGGGCGGGAAGATCACAGATGCAACAACTATTGGGGCAATTGTCGATTCAAAATTATGTTGAGTGGCATCGATGTGATGATAGAGAGATGGTGACTGACTTGTTCTGGGCACACCCGGTTAGTTTGGAGATGTGATGTGCATTTCCACATATGTTGATTATGGATTGCACACACAAGACTAATAGGTATCAACTCTCTTTCTTAGAGATTGTTGGGGTAACATCATCAAACTTGATATTCTTAGTTCTTTTTGCTTATCTTGGTCATGAACGGGAGGACAACTATACATGTAACAACCCTCATTACTGTTTACCGAATAACCGCCGATTACCGTTAAACTGGACTGATTATGACTGATGATTGAACTGATTAAAAGTACTGAACCGACTGACTGAAATTGAAACTGAATTAGCCAAGTATATCTATTGTGTTGCATATTCTATCTGTTTGATTGATTGATTATCTGTTCATGTCTTTGTGTTTAAACCGCTAATTGAAGGCCTTATTGACGGCCGAATTAGAAACCGATTGGTGTCCTATGATCGTCATAATTAATGTGATTTTATGGTATAATTATTTGAAAACTGATTAGGTATGATTAAATTAGATTAAATATTGATAAAATACAGAGTTGGCCTTAATTACAACCTTGCCCTTGAGTGGGCCACTACCTATACACTTTTGAGTTCATTACACTTGAGCCAAAAACGTTTACCTCAGCCTTCTTCCTTGCCTTGCCGACTAGAGAGAGACTAGAGGAGAGAATTGAGTTCATTTTGTTGAATTGGCTTGAATTGCTTGGTGTATTGCTTGCTAATTGAAGTGTGGATTGCTAAATTGAACCCCTAGACTTGCATCCAAGGAACCTAGGTAAGGAATTCAACCCCTCTTTGTTGTGTTTAAGCTTATTCATGCAAGATTCTTGAGCCTCTAGTGATTTAAGTCTAGAATTGGTTCATTGTTGTTGATTTGAAGCTCATTTCATGCATGCATGTTTGTAATATAGATGTTTGAGTTGTTTTCATGGCAAAAGGGTTATAGACCATGTTTTCATCTGGTTTTGGAAAGAAATGAGCTCATTTGAGCAAGCTTTGGAGCTTTAATTTGGTTTAAAACTCATGCATGACATGTTTGAATGTTATTCTTGAAAATGGTTTAAATTGAGTTTGAATTAAACACCCTTGGGCTTTGATTTCTTAAAATTGAGCCTTGAAACATGTTATTCTATGTGTTTATAAATGTTTTCCAGAAAATAGGCCTAAGAGGATCGGTTTTGATGCTTTTGAACTTGGTTTTTGGCTTGGAGGTGCAATCTGGAATCTCCAGCTCGAGCGGGGGAAGAGCCGCTCGAGCGTGGAATCCGAGCATCCAGTATCTCTGCACTGTTTTACAGTCCGCTCGAGCGGAGGATTGGGCGCTCGAGCGGAGTCATGTGTCTCAAGCTCGAGCGGGCGTCGAGCGGAGATTTCACCCATCCAGTACTTTTACAGTACGCTCGAGCGGGAAAGTTTACGCTCGAGCGTGTACCTTTGTTGCATGACCGCTCGAGCGGGGAAACCTGCGCTCGAGCGGGACTCTGTTTTTCTGAAAATTCTGAAACTGTTTTCTGATCACATCCTTGCATCCTCATCCTATTCTAGGCATTCTTAGACCTAGTTTAGGGTATCTTGTTGAGGATATAGATGTAGAGCACACTGAGGCATTAGGGATTAAATTATGATCTTTCCCAGCTGTGTAGCTTAGTGTGTTCAATCTGTTAACTGTGTAGGGTTGGCGACTGGGGAGGCACGCTCTAGCATACTGTAACCCAAACTCTGTGAGTAACGATTGTGTAAAGATATGTTCATAAATGAATATCTTCTGAACAACTGAACTGTACTGTTTTCTGAATTGATTACTGTTAACTGAATGAATGTATGTCCTATATTCTAAACTGTATTGTGGCATCCTTAGCACCTACTGTTTACTGTTACTGTTATACTGTTACAGAGATCTCTGTCGGTTCCCTCGTTGGAACCACTACTGTTACTGACTGATGGCCATCATTTACTGTTCGGTCTTTTAAGACCTACTATTTACTGTACTGTTATGCTAATGGATGTACCACATATGACTGTACTGACTGAAATACTGATTTAATGGACTGTTTTCATTACTGTAAGGACATTCATTCTTAAACCCTTTACGCATCATGTTATTCACTGGGCTTTAGCTCACTGTTTATATATATATATGTAGGTGCTCAGCCACCAGATCGGGGCTAGGAGCGTGGGTTAAACTCCAGTTTTGTCAAGCCAGCCTATGTGCCTCACTGCGAGGTTCCGAGCCTATCGTGTTAAGGCTTAGGGGTGTTTTATAATTCCCCCTTCTGTACCGTCTACTGTTCTGTATAGACTGAATGTTTACTGTACTGTTATCAAGGGATTAGGTCCTTGTACTGTGTGACTGTAAATTATTGTATAGACTGTACTGTTTGTATGTATGAATGCATGAAAAATCTTTTTGGCATGTAGACTGTCACAGCTCAATGGACATTATTTATTTACTGTATTGGCTTCCGCCAGGCCCTGTACTCTGTTTTATTATTCTACTGTTCTGCAGGCCTTCGGTAATCTCGGATTACTGGCCGGTTACGGTGCTAAACCCATAGGGCCGGGTTTGGGTTGTGACAATACATGGGCTTTAGGTGTATTGCATACTATTATGGAAAGTACTACTTTTTCAAAAGTCATTATTACAGATAGAGAGTTGGCTTTGATGAAAGACATATCAAAAGTTCTACTTATGGCCACTAATCTTTTGTGTAAATGGTATATTAGCAAGAATGTTTTGATGAAGTGCAAGAAGGTTTTTGAGATGAAAGATAAATAAGATAAGTTCATGCATAGTTGGAGTGCTTTGGTATTGGTTAGAACAGAAAGAGAATTCATTGAACAATTTTCAAATATGAACACCGAATTTAGTATGTATCCTCAAGCTATTAAGTATGTTACTACAAATTGGTTAGAGCCATACAAGGAAAAATTTGTTGTAGCTTAGACAGACAATAGTATGCATTTCGGAAATACTACTACAAATAGGTAAATTATGGTCATTACATTTATGAATTGCTATAATTTTTTGATTTTTATATTAAATACCAAAATATATATACTTGTAGGGCGGAGAGTTCTCGTGCTAAATTAAAAAGGCAACTTAGATCAAGTCAAGGCAGTTTTGAGACATCTTGGACCAAAATACACAATTTGTTAGAGTTGCAGCATACAGACATTAAAGCCTCATTTCAGCAGAGTTTGATTATAGTCCAACACAACTACACACCTGCTGAGTTCACTGAGTTACGTGGTTTTATTTTAATTTGTAGTTTGGACAAAATATTGGTAGAGTCAAAGAGATCGAATAGTGTGGCAAAAGATGTTGCCGCATGTGGTTGCATTTTTCGACGTACACATGAGTTGTCATGTGCACATGAAATAGCTGAGTATTTTCAACAAGGTCGATTGATTCCTCTCTCATGCATAAATCCTCATTGGAGGAAGTTAGATATGCTTCCAGTTTCAGAAAGTTCTTTTGTGGAGTTGGATTGCAAAACAGAGATTGGTTTTTTTATTGAGAAATTCTAAACGATTGACGAAACACAACAAGTGATCTTTCTGAGGAAGTTTAGGGGGTTAATTAATCAGAAAGTATATTTTTTATGGAACCTGAACTCAAGATTGACACGCGAGGTAGGGGCCGAGGTCTCGGCCATGGTCAATTCAAAATCGATA